TGACCAAAGAAAAACAAGTATCTCCAAAATAGTAACTTTACAGGAGAAGGCAAAAACACTCTTACCTTTCAATGCAAGTTAATGTAAAGAGATTTTATTCCAAGTGATTTCAGAGCATTTTGATTGGTTCATTCATCATGAAATTTTCAGACAGCGTAAACAATAGTTGGTGTGTTGAAATGCAAAAAATAAATATCACCAAAAATGGAGATACATGGTTTTCTTTGGACAGCAACTTTGTTTTTTTTCCAATACATTAGCAAATAAATAGAATTTTTACACTAAAGTTTGCAGAAGATGTCATGTTTCAGTTCTGTGTGGAGGATGTGTTCATTTATTTACACTTAGAAAATCAATAAAATGCAATTTGACAAGGGTGTTCATACTTTTGCATACAATTGTATAGATTTTCATGTATATTCCACTTAACATATCGTTGCTGTTTTTTTAATCTTTTACATAATTTAAAAATTCCAGCTGTCCTTTACATTGTGTGAAAATTCATGAAAGTTCATGATAACAAAATGACTTTGAATACGATGTTACATCAAAAATTAAGAACTTTTTTTCTTCTGCAAAGTTACCACACTGGAGGTTTTGTCCCAACAGTGATGAAACAAACCATGAAAAACTTAATTATTTAGTCCAATGTTCATGTTTCACTTTTCTCAGATATGAACACCACTACTTTGTGGTTAAAGAGAGGGTTAAAGCCTCAAAAAGAAGATTCATTTAGAATTTTTATTCTTATTTCTTTCAACATTGGGGTCTTTGGGACCCCGAACTGTGAGGAAGTAAAGCGCATCTCACCTAAACATGAAGTTTAAGAAAAAGTTTCACGTAACTATTTTAATAGTCTAAACGTAAAAGTCCACAGTTTGGAGAAAATGCTAGTTGGGCTCACAAAGATTCAGATGCACCTGACTAGAACAATGATTAATAGAGAAATAAAGAGGAGCGAGAGAGGAAGAGAGAGAGAGAGAGAGGGAGAGAGAGAGAGCATGGATATGACAGAACAATTGAACAAACCTGTGGCTTTAGGAAGGATAAAAGAAGGGGGAGCATGACAGTGAGAGAGAGAGGCAGAGAGAGAGAAAGAGAGAGAGAGAGAAAGAGAGCTGGGGGTAGAGAGGGATTTACATGGAAGAGGAGGGGGCAGTGACACAGTCCGTTACAAAGTGGCACACGCACGCTCAGATGCTCACAGTCTGACACACACTCGCTCCTACACACACTCTCTCTCTCACACACACGCACACACACACACACATACACACACACTCATGCACACACACTCATGCACACACAGCGGGCATCATTCAGCCAGTCCGGCCAGTAATGAGGGATGAAACAGATCAGAGGAAGCCCTACAGGCCTCGCTTTGTATGACCCACGGTAAGAGAAAAGTCAAATTCTTAATTGTCTCTTTACCCTCTTGAACTCTAGGCTTTTTATTCAGTTATTAATCTTAAACCTCATTATTCAGTAATTAATATGAATTATTTGGTAACCGCTGAAAGTTAAATATAAGTTACGGAATGAGAGTGAGGAACTGAAGTGTGGGCCCACATACAGGCCCTTAGGGTTTAAAGGAATACTTGTTCTAATCTCTATCTGCACGTCACAGTGGGAATAAAACATAGTATTTCGAAATTAACAAGTAATCTTCGATGTATGTTAATGCGACAAGAGTTTATCATGATTTTGGACCATTCATTGTAAATTGTTTGTGCAATACAAATGAGAGCTGACATTTCCACACAAGTGATATGTTCAAATATTGTGTGATAATATGTTGACAAACATTTCAAAGAATAGTAAACAACATTAACTCAAAACACACTTGGCATCTGCCTATTGACTTCCATTATAAGTATATTTCGAGACTACTTTTTTGGTGCATAAGTACAGTTAAACATGTTAAAATGAAAGTGTGTGCACATGGCAGATAGAGATTAGGTTTAAAAACGCTGTAAAGTATTCCTTTAAAAGGTTAACCCTATGATCCCCTAACATCTCCTGGGTTCCTCTCTTTCAACTTTTTTGTTGTCTTTTCTGATTTTAGCTTTAAATCTGCCTTTCTCTCTCTTCCTTTGAGGCTGGCTAGCTTTTAGGCCTTTTCTGTAGGCCTGTGACGGCCTGTCCACTGACACACTTAGTTTTTTAGGCAACAGGAGGCTATTAATTCACTGAGCAGCGATCTGGAATGATGCCTTCAATGTTGGCCACAAAGGCGTTTTTAGAACAGTTTGATGACTTTACTGAACCCTGACCCGTGAAATGTACCATGCGCTGATGGCAAATCCTTTGCAAATGAGGCTTGAAATTCACGAGAGGCCGGAACCATTTTCATATCTCGTTTGACGGATTGTTTTTCACCTAGGGCTGCGTCCAATTATAGAATTTACAACGCAGTAATGAGGATTTGTGTACGGGGCTCATAAACAATACAGCTTCTGTTATTGTTCAGCTCGGTATCATAAAACTGAGGGTGTACTTTGTTTAGACCAGATTGTTTTGGTTTGGAATACCTCTTTACATTGCTCATAGTTTCATTATGATAATAGGAGAAGATCAAGTAGGCAATGAAGCTTTGGCTCATGATATATTTATATGATGATGAATTTTGGAATTGGATGTTTTGATCTGTTTTTAAGAAAGATTGAAAACCAGAGGAAAGCTTGATGCTATGTGTAGTATCTTGGGGCAGTTTTCTGAATTCTACCATTCCTCTTGATATTAATATTTATGCTTCACCACCGAGGTGGGCAATATGGCAAAAATGCACCATCACAATATATTATCATGATGGTAAATATCACAATACATAATATAAAGCACAATATTTTGTTTTCCTGAGGTTTATATGCATCAGTAGCATGAGACTTAAAATACTATCAAAAACTATAAATACAATATTTTTTTATTCAAAATTTCACATACTGTGCAGCACTAAATCAAGTTAAATCTCTTTTTAACATCCTTGCAAAAAAGCGTACTTAGGTACGGCAGTGGCATACTTGAAGTATATAGAAACTATAAAAAGTAAAATTTTTATGTCGTGTTTTATTGAAATACACTAAAAATATACTTTTCTGTCTTTTTTAAAGCAACACACTTTAAATGATACTTAAGTATGCTGTAAGGAAATACACTTAAATAAATGTATTTCTTAACATACTGACACATACTTAAGCAAACATAGATTTGGCATCAACTTAAGTGTACTATTTACAAAAATACTCCAAAGCAATGACTTTTAAAGCATGCTTTAGTACATATTACATGCATTGTAACTCAAACTTGCCTAGATATTCCGAATAATATATTTAAGTGTATACTTAACTATGTTTTACAAAAGCACACTTAAATATGTTTTAAGTGATGAATGTTGAATTCTTTTTGTGAAAATGAAATATAGCTTAAAATACATTTAAGTGCATTGTAGTTACAGTGTAACTCCATATTTAGAGTGTATATAACAGTTATGTCTACATGTTACATACTTAAGTTTACTTAGGTTGTTTTAAAAAAGCACTCAAAAGCACTAAATGTATTTAATATATATGTAATCATAGCTTAATTACAATTTAAACACACTTAAGATGTCATAGGTGTGTGCCAAAAAGTATCCATACATTCAATATGCATTAAAGTATGTTACAAGCATGAACATTAAAAGTATAAACTTTTCATAATAAAACACTTTTGAAAAGTGCGCTTACATGCATTTTTCTTCCACAACCATTTCTCTTGATATTATTATTAATATATGCTTTACCACAGAGGTGGGCGAAATACAAACTATAAAACTATATAGCTATAAATACATTGTTTTTACTCTATATTTATGTTTTAATGATATGCACAATATGCTCAGAAAAGCATACTGTGAAGTAATATGATGTAATTTATCACAATAGCAATAACATCGTCATATTACCCACCCTTGCTTTACCGCCAAAGCATGTTATATCAGCATATTCATATGATGTTATTTTGAGTTATACCATTTTTTCTCTTTTGTCTCAGAGTGAGCAGTGTCTGGATTAAGATTATAGCTGGTACCTGGGATTGGATTTAAACCTTTCCTCCCAGTAATCTGAATCAGATTTGTCGGCCCACTTTATTCCTTCTGACATGGATAGGAATAGCAACTGATATTGTAATTGGCTTATAGTTAGACACAGTCATGTTGAGCTTTATGTTAAATGTATCAGCAGGCTCCAGCATGCCTCAGTGTGAACCTTCCTTTGCTAACAACATGCCATCACACTGTTATTCCATGGCTGCTCACTTAAACTTTCTGATTTAAACTTTATGACAGGTTAAGCTATACAACACACAGCCATTGACATACCTCACATGAGTGCTACAAACATAATTTTGATAAGTTTTCAACTACTGTCTCTTGAAAAGTCATTGACATTAGACATTTAAATGTAGTATTATATGACTCACACTTTTATATGTGAAGTACAAACAGTGATTCATCTGCAGCATGATTTATTTAATGCTGAGTAAAAGGTCCTTATACATTTTCACCCCTACATTTCTGACCCACAGCGTAGAACCATTTGTGCTACTTTTGGTCCAATCTCACATCATTTAGCATTAGCATGATTAGCATGTCACAAATGAATTCGTCATTTAGTGCATTACCCCGTGCCGTGCCATTCCCCTTTGGTTAAATGGGGGTTTAGAATGAATAGAGCACCTGGCGCAGTGTGCCTATACAGGGGATGGGCTGTCACTCTCATGCTGTTTTTGACCTCTCAACCCTGGGCTCAGTGATGTTATCTTGACTTCAGTTCCTGCTAGGCCAATCCCAGTCATATTCCTGCAATAACATTAGAAGTACGTTACAACAGCTTTCAGAGAAAACATTCCCTGGTTTGAGACAACAGCTAAAGGTTGCTTTTCGGCAGTTTGCAGAATGGAAACTTCAGCAAGAAAAAGTTACTTAGTTTAAACTCCCCATTAAGACAGAACCAGGATAGATGCCTCTGGTCAGTTTATCAACAAATGAAGGTACACATGCTAGAAAATGCATTGATTTAAAAAATTTGTCCAAATCCATAATGTTATATAAGCATTACTTTACAACAACCAGTGTAGCAATTTGATGAGCTTGCTACTCTTCTATTCATTCCTTGCTAGTTACTGAAATGTTCTGTACCATCCTTCTTTCTCTCTACTCAACATTGTTTGCATGTTTTCTCATCTGTACCATTTCTATTTCTGTCTGTTTTTTTTTCTCTGGCAGGATCAGGAGGTAACGCAAAAAGTCCTCCATACAAAGAAGCGCTGGACCCAGAGAAGCACACTGTTAAAGGTTTTGGCCAATCAGGGATCTGGTTGGGGGTATCATCATCGATCCTCTCCGATCAGGGCACTGGGGTGGCAAACCGTTAACTGTGTCTCCTTGCAAAGACTGAAGCCCATCTCTGTGTGCTTGCAGGGTCAAGAGAGTAGCAGCTCAAGGGTTCTTCTCTTCTACATCTTAGGAACCCGCTGATCTGTTACTCTCCAGGCTCTCCACTCAGTAAAACTGTGGCTATGTCGTCCCCCTCTCTCCCTCTCCCTTCGCTGCCCCCCAGCCCCCTAGCCATGGAGTACCTCAATGACTTTGACTTGCTCAAGTTTGAGGTGAAGCCTGACACTCCCCCACCTCCTCAGCAACAATGTTCCTACTCCAAAGTAGGCCTCCAGCAGCAGCGGGACACCTCAGGCTCCCCATATGTGGTGCGCCCCCCTCCGGACTCCAGCCTTAGCTCCAGCCCCTACACTTCCCTGCCACCTTCCCCGACTCTCAGTGATGCCCATCCACCTCCGTCAGCCTCGTCCTCTTCCTCCTCCTCGCTCTCCTTCCCCCTCTCAGTGTCCACCGGCTATGTCTCTGGACTCAGTCAGGCCTCTCAGGGCAATCAAGATGGCAGCCCTGCCCCAAGTGCTCTGCCGCAGTGCCCTAATCCTGCCTCTTTGGAAGACCTCATCTGGTTGGCCGCGCTGCAGCAACAGTTTGGGGGAGAGGCAGGAGGTGCTGCTTCTCTCTTGGGGGCCCTCGGGGGAGCACCAGAGAGAGGGGACAGGGATAGGGGTCCCATCGGGGGGTTCCTGGGATGTGAAGATGCCGTGGAGGCGCTGCTCAACTCAGCTGCTGCGGCTGTAAGTTCACAGGTACTATACGTGAGTCTGAGTATGTGTTACTATAATGGTTTCCTAACACTGGCCCTGGGGTACCCTTGCCCTGTACTTTTTAGTAGTTGTACAGGGAAGGGGTAATCAAGAATTGGGAACTGCATTAATGAGTACTCAGCAGTAGGTTTGTGTAAGAGACAACTGTTCTAAGAGTGAGGCAACTATTATCTACAGCTTAAAACAGTGGTTTTCAAGCTCTGGACTATCAAAAACTCAGCCAGTTCACACTGCAGTCCATGTAGGTGCTGAATAATAAGCTTTATGATGTAATAAGCCTGGGATTTTAAGAGGTCGATTAACTTATCAAGTATGTTAAAGTAGGCATTCTCAACTCCAGTCCTGGGGTCACAATGCCCTACAAAGTTTCAGGTATTCCCTGCCCAAACACACCCAAACCAAATCATTGACTAATTATGAAGCCCTTCATTAGTTGGATCAGGCATGTTCCAGAGCACTAAAAACGAAAGGCAGGGTGACCAAGGACCAGGGTTGGAAACCACTGGTTAAGAATGTCCATGTATATGGTTGTACATTTGGTGTTAACCTATAGCTTGCACCAAAATCTCAAATCTTTCTATTACCTTTCTGTGTATTGATGTCTCTCTCCCTCTTACAGTTTCCTGTCCTGTCACAGAGCTCTGGAAGCAGTAACTTGGGAGATTCCAGTAGCGAGAGTGGAGGTGATGTAGCCGTCAGCAAAGCCTCAGAGCTGTGTCACCGTCCTCTCCTTTTCGTTTCCTCCGCCCCTCCCTCTCTCCATAGTGCAAACCCAACCACTGCCCCGTACCCCCAGCCCCCCAGCCCACAGGGCCGTCTTCATCACCCGCAGCACCACCATCACCACCCCCATCATCCCATGCATGGCAATCACAGTCACCATCATCACCATCAGCTCCAAGTTGGCCAGGTAAAGAAGAAGATGGGCTGCAGCACTATAATGAACTGTGGTTTCATGTGGACTCTGCCAGGGTGCTAGCAGGAGTTCTTTCTCTCATATACTTTTCACTTTAACCCCTTAAAATCCCAGGTTTATTACATACTAAGGTTTATTATTGAGGAACTACAGGGACTTCATTGCAAACTGGTTGAGCCATTCCTAGCCTATAGACATGTGTAACAAAACTTTGCGCTGGTGGGCCTGGCCATTTAATGGGTTAAAAGCCTTTCATTTAGGGGAAGAGGATGCTTTGAAAAACCAAAATGGACCAAACAGAACTTTAACATCCGTGAGTAGAGCAGTGGTTTACAAACATGGTCCTGAAGTACCACCTGCCCTGCACATTTTGGTGTTTCCTTGGCTCCCAACACACCTAGATCCTGTGTTGAAAGCCAGGAAGCACTAGGACACTGGGTACTCCAGGACCAGGGAAGGGAACCTGTGGTTTAGAGGATTGCACAAGTATCTGACTTCACTGGGTTGAATTGGGTTACTGCATTGAAACCTGAGGAATGAACACTTGTCTGAGTGACTTGTGCTAATCCCTGTTACAAAACCAATGGGATTCCATTCCACTCAAGCCGATACTGAGACTGCATGATTCCATGTTTTGCTGTTGAACATAGAATGACTAGAATCCAGACACTGCATGGAGACACTGGAAGATCATCAAGGCAATGTTGAGCTGAGAAAGTAACTTTTCAGACATCATGAATTTAATTGGGATTTAAGAGTAATTACCTTACCTTGGCCTTACAGGTTGCTCTGTTGGAGTTAAATTTGTGCATTTTTGGAGGATGCCTATGTAATGCTTTGGCTAATATGGCCAAAGTATGAATATCTGCTGTGAGAGTAAAAATATCTGAACTTCCCAGCCACAGGCTACGAAACATTATAAGCTGATCAAATACATCAATGCAATTCAGTCTCACATATTTGAGTAAGTGAATATTAATAACCAGTTTGTTGTGTCCATGTCAGTTTGTTCTTGAAATGCTGTTGCTACACGTGCCATTTGCACCACATTGAGAACTCCTGCACAGGTTTCCTCTGTAATGTATGCACACTGAATTTAACATGTTTACAACCCATTAACATTTTACTAGAACAGCATTTTTTGTCTGGAGGTTGATGCCACTTTGGTCTGTCACATTTTTTCATTGCAGTAATGGTGCGGTTTGATGGGTTTTGTGGGAGAGACAGTAGTGTGTGTTATGTTGTGCGTGTGTGTGATGTTGCTTTAAAACGGCGGTTCCTGTCAGGACGCTGGCTGGAAATTTATGGGGTTGAATGTGGAACAGGTCTATGAGATTAGCATAATATCTGCTATTATTGTTGTGTAATCCCGATCACTGTCACTCACACTCAGTCAGATTACACTATAGATTATGAACATGTGCAGCCGAAATGTGCAGCCCATTACACACACACACACACACACACAAGCATACACAAGCAATGCTGCTCACAATCATCATGCTCATGCACGAGCCACATACACGTGCATGCATCATAAACAATCACATTCTAATTTGTCAACAAAGACCTACCATCTTCATCATCAGTCATCACCGGCATGCTCATAATCTCTCCATGCAAGTCTGTATTCAGCAATATGAATAAGTGAAATTCAATTCAATTTAATTCAGGATGTTTACTTATCATTAGTACATTTAGTTACTGTGTCAAAAGAATGGAAATAGATAGATTTAGATATTTAAGATATTCGTTTTCATTACAGAAATATTATGTTTAAAATGATCAAAGAACACACAATTGCATGTAAATGTTTTTACATGCAACTGTAAAGGATTTGAATGAATTAAAATATTCTAACTGAAAATAAGTTAACACATCCTCTACAGAGAACACACTTCTGCACATTTTTCCCCTCAGCAAATAATATTTAATATGCCACACTGTGTTCTGTCTAGAGCATGTATTAACTTGTTTTTACTTAGAAAATTGACAAGCCATATTTTGAGGAATGGAGATGCCTACATAAATGCAATAAACGCGATACAAATTGAAGGAATAGTTTGGCCAAAAATCTAATTTACACAATTTTCCACTTATCAGCCGAAAACATGTTTGGTGTCGGTATTTTGCTTGTGTGGAAACTCGTGTAGACGCCGATGAGTCAACATCATCTACTGCTGCAGTGGTTAGCTCTAGTGTTAGCATTAGCCTGTCAGTTTATTCAAGGCAGCCTACTTAAGACTTACTCAATTGCAGTGACCAAAACATGTACGTGTGCTACTGATGTATTTGTCCAGCTAGCAACACTTTACCATGTTTGATGATGCGGTACTTAAAGTATCTCAAAGCCCATCTTTTGTAAATTAAGTATTTAGAAGTCTGTTCATTGAAGCAACGTTATGGCCTAAAACTAGCATTTAATAATATTTGCTATGTAACATAATATTCTGTAGCACTCAAAGTTTGAAAGAATTTATAATTTTGAGTATTGCCTCACTACAGGGCCCAGCTTGTGTTGCACAAATACATCATACAACCACTGGGAATCCCCCCCAAAGCGAAAGAAATGCAGCAACATAGAGGCTAATAAATAGGCCTACATATATTCAGCTGTGCAGAAAAGCTACCTACCAGCTAATGGGGAAAAATTCAAACAGCCCACCCTCATTTGTCCACCTCAATTTGCCTGTAGTTTTTTCCAGGTTCCTCCCACCTTCAAGGTACATCATAATCGGTATTGCCTAGTCTTTAAAATCTCAATCTCTGGACTATTGTGGCACCACTGTGGGATGAATAAGCATCTTTACAACAGATGTAACAATGGTTCAACTTTTCATTTTGGCCAAAGCGTCCCTTTAACTTACAGACAAAATGCTGCTGTCTTTGCTGTGTACACAGCATTTATTACACAATCTAAGTGAATAATTCACTGTTATTTGACTGCTAACTATGCTAACGTCTACCTGCTGTGGGTAACGTTTTGCCCACTATGTGACCACGTGCTCCATGAATTCTAAAATGACCTCTTTCTTTCTGTTATCTCTCTCTCTTTCTTTCTGTCTCACTCTCTCACAGTGCGCTGTGGACGAGCGGTTCTCGGACGAGCAGCTGGTCAGTCTGTCCGTGCGGGAGCTGAACAGACACCTGCGTGGTGTGAGTAAGGACGAGGTGGTTCGCCTGAAGCAGAAGCGCCGGACCCTGAAGAACCGCGGCTACGCCCAGTCCTGCCGGTACAAACGGCTGCAGCATCGGCACGCGCTCGAGTCCGAGAAACACCTCCTCACGCAGCAGGTACGCAGCACACAAAGCACTACACCTCTTAAACTCCAATTCACAGTTTTCAGTTACGTCATTAAGAACACCCCACCGCCATTTTGGTAGGTGAGCTGTAGCTCTTAATGTGCTCTGGTAGAGCCCGCCTCGTCACCACTGTTGCAGCTACAACCCTTTAGGTGGATGAAGACCAAGGAAAATAGACCAGAATGAACACGAAAAACATGAAAAGATGTGTGGACGCTTTAGATATAGTCTCTAGAAAATGCTTCAGGGAGAAGATCTGCCAGATTGATGGACTGGATCCGTATAGCCTACATATGTCTAGAATTCAGAAAATTCCAAAGCATGACATTTTACAAAAGCTAATAATAAGTTACATGCATATAAAGCTGAAGTTGGCTTCTTATTCACCAGCTTTACAAATACAAATCTAAACGTCTGCTTACCTCAATAAATGCATTAATTACCCTCAACTAATGCATCATTAATCAACAAATACTTTTGCTTGGAAGTGTTTAATGAGCAGCTAATACACTGCAAAGCAGGGCTCTAATCAGCCACTGGAGTTTCTGGACTGTTGACCGCATCTTATAGGCTGATCCAACACTGCGTCCCAAATCACACACTTCTATACTTTACATACTACATTAATGACTGCACCTTAGCATATGTGCTATTTTGTGCATACTATCTAGTGTGATAGTATTTCGGAATGCGGCGATAATGAGCTTATAACACTATGTATGTAATAATGGTGCCACCTTGAAGATGTGCCATAGAACAGTGGTTACCAACCTTTGTCTTTGAGATCTACTTTCCTGTGGACTGTAGTTCAAGCCACAATCTGCCACATCTGCTACAGCTAATTAAACTCTTTTGAAATCCTTGATTGGCTGGATCAGGTGCATTAGTGTTAGGTAAGGTGAGGACAGCATGTTAGAATCAGGTTGGAACTAAACACTGCAGAAAGTAGATCTCCATTAAGAGGGTTGGTCAACGCTGCCATAATAGAACCACTTTTGGTTACTTAAAGAACCTTTTAGTGGATGTTTTTGTATGTAAATGAGTGTGAGTGGGAAAAACCTGTTAAAAGTTTAAAGATCCTCTACATAATGTCATGCGTCTAAGTCTGGGTCTGTAGAATGTCAAATTCAGGAACCATTTGGGGAATTTTATTTTTATTGAGGTTTTAAAATTGCTGCTCAGTTTTCTGACTCTGTCTGTGTCTCTAGAACGGAGCAATTCACACCAAACCACTCTGTGAGACCTGGTTTCCCTCTTTATGACTTAATTATGCAGAAATTTTGAAAAAGTGGAATTCCTTTTTAGGCCACAGCAAGCATACATCCAAGCCAAGAACCACAAATAGAGATGGGAAGGTACCTTCAGAGAGGAGGCAGGATTCTTCTTGTTTGATTCCAATATTGAAACCTTGAGTGTCCAGTATCCAGCATTTTCTGCTGAAATCAGCCCAATGAGGATACCCTTTGATACTGATAGGCCATCTGTAACCACGAGCCTTTATTTTTGAGAGTCTGCTTACTGAGTAAAGTTCAAGGGGTTAAATCATCTCCCAAGGCACAAACTCAAACACAATAAAAGCATGACCTCATACATGTTACACACTGAAGCACACTATGTAGATATGAGGAAGGATGAAGTGTGTTTTGAGTGTTTTCAGTACATGGAGAGGAGTCACTCAGTGTCAGTGACGTTTTTAGCCTTTTCAGTATCCATATTCATATTCAGAGCCTGCAAATCTGAATGCAGTGAAACGTAATGCGTCTTTAATAGAGTGCAGCTGGCAGCTGAAGACGGTCGAGAACGCCAAGAATTTCACTATTACATAAGAATTTACACATGAACTCTTTACCGTCGCTCTCATTTCTCTCGCTCACTCCATCATCTCTCTCCTCTGTCTGTCTCTCTCACTCTATCCTATCTCTCTGTCTCTCTCTCTCACCTCTTTCTCTCTTTATCTCTCACTCTCCCTGTCTCTCTCTCTCTTTGTCTGTATCCCTCTCTCTTTCTGTCCCTCACTCTCTGCCTCTTTTTCTCTCTCACCATCGCTCCTCTCTGTCTCTTTCTCTTTTTCCCTTACTTCTCCCTCTCTATCTTCTTTCCTCTCTCTCTTACCTCTCTCTGTCTTTCTTCCTCTCATGCCATCTTTTCTATCTCGCTATCACACTACATCCAATCTCCCCCTGCCTCTGTTTCTCTTCTATCTCTTAATCTCTCACTCCATCCCCTCTCTCTTTCTTTTTCATAATCTCTCCTCTCTCTTCCCCTTATTCTTCCCTATCTTTCTGTCTATCTTTCTCTCTATCTCTGTCTCTCTCTCTCTCTCTCTCTGTCTTTCTCTCTCATTTCCTCTACCATCTATCTCTTTATTTCACTTCCTCTCTCTGTCTCTCCTCTCTTTCTTTCTCTTTCACTCACTCCACGCTATCTCTTTCTCTCTCTCTGACCTCTTTCTACATCTCTTTTCCTCTCTTTTTCCCTTGTTTCCTCACTCCATCCCTTCATTTTCTCTCTCTCTCTCTCTCTCTCTCTCTCTCTCTCTCCAGCTGGAGCAGCTGCAGTGTGAGCTGTCCCGTGTGTTGAGGGAGCGGGACGCCTACAAGGCTCGATACGAGAAACTCGTTAGTTCTGGTGAAGCCCCGCCCACTCAAGCCAATAACCCGCCTTCCCCGCCCCCAGACTACTTCCTATGATGCTCTTTGCTGAAAGGAAAGGACTGGAGAGCAGTGAGATGACAGAAGAAGAGCGAAACTGCCCCATCCCAGCGAGCTAGCCAGTCTCTCAGATGATGTTGCGGGAGGTGAGAGGGGAGCAGGAGGGGGGAGGCCTCAACAGTGAAATAAGCTACTTAACCAAAGCGGGTTCAATTTGACTGTCAAATTTGGGCTCAACCTGAAGCCCTAGAATCCAACTCCATAAAGACTGTGCTCTCTGCTGCTGGCCAACGTTTCACTGTGAGATTTTGTAGTAGCACAATAAAAAAAAAGGCTTTTCTACTTTTGAATGCATTCTCATCTTTTCAGCACACATGCCCTGTCCATATTGAAAAAGACTGACCAGAGAAGGGACAATTAGAGAGAGCTGTCTGGTAACACTAGACATCAGAGCGCTAGTAAGGCCCTCACATAGAGCCATCGGACTTCATACTCCTCGTGCTCTCATAGGATGGTTTTCACCATGTGCCACAGCTCCAAACTGACTGTTGGATCAGGACATTGTCAAAGATGAGTCTAACTGCTGCTCTATAACCTTTTGATCAAGACTGTATAATCATAAGGTTAATCTTTTTTGTGTTTGAGTGATCAGATTCCCAAAGGTCAATGCAAATCTCACATCATATAAAACATATAGGTCTGAAAGGGGAGCCTTGAGTTCATGTAAAATTGTAAACGGCAAGTGTTTCTTTTAATCAGAGACGCTGAGGTGGAATACATTAAAAAGCAAGCTCTACAAGCATTCAAGGACATTGCTGTGTAGTGTTGCATTCTGACACCTCATTCGTTCCGGAGGAGAAGACAATACAGTGGGGGTTTATGTCATGTTTGTGATTATTCCTACTTGTGATAACATACATTATTGCAATAAATATTCTGGTTTTGAAAGACTTGCTGGTTTGGGAATGGACATATGCACTCAACAGGAGAACGCGTTGTGCTTTTTGCAAGTGGTTGGAACGCAAGGCATCCTGTGTTGTGGCTTTAGGATGGGTCTACGATTAGCATGGCTGAGTGAATTAAATGGTTTTGAGTGACTGTGTCTTTCACTATGTCTTAATATGTAGTGAGCTGTTTACGTAGGCAACATTTTAGGTCATCGAATGCCCCTCCTCGACATGGAGGCTGTCTCAAGCCAGTGAACAGAAGATATGGCAAGCAATGACTTTGCTAAATTGTTCTCTACCATTGTAAGAAAAATAGAGCTAGCTAGCTCTGTTGCCTTTGGCTATTGTTTCAATAATCAACAAGATTTTGCTTAGCTATCTAGCGCTAGGATGTTACAATCTTGTTGTTGAAAGTTGTCAGAAAGGTAACATTAGCATTTGGGAATAATTAGTGATGTATACCCTAAATACGTTGCCTACTAATCTGATTTTGGTCAAAATCTAAGGCAGTGTCTCACATATTCTATAAGGAAACCTCACGTTGCAATCCAACAACATGTTTTAATTCAATGTAGTGGACAGAGGTTAATTTTTCAACCACTGTATGGAGAATTTGTAGATTATTTTCCACACATTTATAGACACTAGCTAGCTCTGTTGCCTCAAGCTGTTGTTTCAAATAGCCAACCAGCTAGTTAACTTTTGCCTAGGTATCTAGCGCTAGGTTGTTACAATCTTGTTGTTGAAAGTTGTCAGCTAGGTAACATTAGCAATTGGGAAGAATTAATGATTTATACCCTAAATATGTTGCTTACTAATCTGATTTTGGTCATAATCTAAGTACCTATCCTAAATACCACATACCCTCAATGGATAAGGTAACCTCACAGTGCAATGCGACAACAAGTTTTCTTAAAATGATCCATTCAATGTGGCGGACAAAGGCAAATTTTCCAATGTAAGCCTTTTTCAACCACTGTATGGAGAATTTCTACTTATTCTCCACACATTTATAGACACTAGCTAGCTCTGTTGTCTCAAGCTGTTGTTTCAAATACTAAATTAGATATAGCTAACTTTTGCTTAGCTAGCTAGCGCTAGGTTGTTGATAGCTGTCATCAGCTGTCTTGTTGAAAGTTGTCATCTAGGTTTACATTATTATTAGCATACAAGTGGTGGGAACAATTGGTAATGTACATCTGCTAAGATATCTGATTAAATTTTAAGACAAGAACAAGGCAATACTACAATGCAACAACACGTTTAGGCCTAATTGCAAAAATGTAATTAAAAGTTGGTGAACCGAGGCAATGTGAGGTAGCTAAGTTCTTAAATGTCAGTTTTTACCAACAACGGACAATTTGTAGAGTGTTCTCCAAAAAATTCACATATGCTAGCTAGCTCTGTTGCTTCAGGCTAATTTTTCAAATCGCCAACTTGATAGCTAACTTTGCTTAGCTAGCTAGGTTGTTGCCAAGTTGTCAGACTTGTTAAATTAGCCATTGGGAACGATTGGTGATATCTGTGTCTGATTTTTTTTTTTCCATTTTGGTTAAAATGCTGCCTACTTAGACAGCTCGCTAAGTACTGAGACACATCTATTGAAGCAAACTAAGAAAAAGCAAAAGGATTTGTTACAGAGTGACGCTCATGAACCAGTTTCAAAGAGACTAACAACCGATTCACCTCCGAATTCACAGAGCTGGACACTGTGGGTTATTGTTATTATTATTTTTTTAATGACTGGGTGAAATGCAGGGACATATAGTAAGATTTCATTAGTACATTTCCAATTATTCCTTATGCATACAACGTTACTACAGTGTCATCTGAGTAGCTTAGAACTTTTTTCTCTTCTTTTCTTTCTTTCTTTCTTTTTTTTTTGGCTGAGTGTAGGTCTGTGGATAAGGCTTGTCTGTTTAATTTATTTCCCTTATTTATTTACAGTATTTATTTATTGTTTGTTTATGTAATGATCATTTTCATTCGATCATTTGCTGGTTTTCTGTTTTATTGACATGCTTAGTGTGTATTTTATTTATTTTGTAGCTTGATTACATATATTGCCATGATTACGATGATACTGACCGTGACTCCGATCACTATTACTATCGTTTTTGGGTTATGCTCTATTGTAGTGGTTTCCTATGAAATAAAGATATTTTTACCATTCGTGGATCATTATTATTCATACCCTCACCATGTAGCTGATTAGAGAATATGGTTCATTTGAGGACATGTAGGCATTTGTGTTGACTGCCTGGCTCAATCACAAGTAATTTATTTGTTTCAAATCGATTTGAGTGTGTTTCAGTTCCTGCAGGTCGGCTCTGTTGCTGCCTCTTTCTTTAATAGTTCACGTTTTCCTAACATCCCCTCTACCCCCCTTTCTCTCTCTCATTCTCTGTATCCCTCGCTCTCGCTATAGAAAGACAGTGACCCTGGCTAAGAGCTGTTTAGGATGACCTCACCCTTGCCCCTCCCTCCCTCTCTCTGTCTCTCGCTCTCTCTCTCCCGGGCCTGGTACAATGGGCTGGGGATTAGGGGGATAATAGACCTGGGCCAGCTCACTGCCGGAGCGCTTTGGAAAAGGCAGGAGGCCATTGTGGACAGGACGTACACAGAGTTACATGCACACTCACCCCGCTTCTATGCCGCGCTGACGCTTCGCGCACACACACCCCAATTGTAGTAGGAAGCATGCACAGATTTATGTTCTAACTCTGCAATGAGCTCATATGAAACACTGGAACACATGGCTATAAATAACATTACAACACGTAATATTACATACACATAGTGTCTGTAAGATAGAGGAGCTGTGGTGACGTGGTTCTTTCATTGTCCATCCCTGAAACTTTAGCACACAAACACACAGAAGTTTGTATATCTGTCTTTTTGAGGTACTTCCATTGACATTTGTGCTACTGTGGCTAATTATTGCTCTATATATCTAAACCCTAAGCTCTAAAGATAATTCCACCATTTGTTTCAAAATTTTTGAATAATTCAGTCCCTGAGATGTAAACAGAGTCATTCAGAATGATTTGATGTGAAGTGGTTCATTGTAGAGAAACTTACTGACTGATTTCTTTACAGTGGTGATGATAGGAACCAGGGGTTGCCATGTCTACAACACAAATATAGCCATTTTATTTACTATCCAAAACCACCAGTGAACCTGCACATGTCTTCTGATTTTTATATGTAGTGTTGATGGTGGTAAAATAGTCATATATCAGAAAAAATAAGTTTCCTTTAGGGACTGCCATACAAAGGGACTGCATGTATCCCTCCACTATGAATGGATTACAATACATAGATTAAAAGTACAATTTAAGCCTTAACTTTTGTCACAAAACTATCATAAAACAATGTGTCAGACATCCCTTTATCTAAAAGCTTTCTGTGAGGGAGCTCTCAGGGGCATTAAACTCTTCAGACGTCTGGGTCCCATCACCACCAACTCTGCAAGCTTCTCTAGAACTGACCATTTCACATCCAACCACTCAGAATGACTGTTTGCATCTCAACCGTTTAATTATGTTAAATTTTTAAAAAATTGGTTTAGTTTTCCTTTTACCTTAGTAATCAAATCCTTTACTTTTTCAAATAAAAAGTGTATTTTAAAATCTAAAAAAGTGTTTTTAACATATGGGGAGCAGTCAAATGTCTACACAATGTGAAAATATCATGTTTGTCCTTTGGGTATCTGGTCATTGCACACACACACACCCACGCAGGTTTGTCTTCTAGTCTTTGTGGGGTATTTCTATTGCCTCGTCAAACTGTAGCTAAACCTAAACTGCTAACCAGGCCCATTTCTGAATTGTAGCCCTAAGAGACATCCTACTTGAATGCCCCAAAACCTAACCCCACATTTTCTTTTCTTTTAAATAAAAATGTAAAAATGTGTGAAAACACCTGGACTCACTGCACTTTTTGACAAAAAAAAAAATTAATGTTTTTATTTTTTAAATAAATAATAAAAAATACATATTCGGAGCCCCCTGGTGTTTCAGGGGCCCTAAGTGACTGCTTATACTGCTTAGAGCTAGAAACCGCCCTGTACTTAATTCAAGTATAATCAAGTATAATCACTTACTTGTAATCCCATATTCGTGGGGTATTTCTGTTACTGTCTGTGTGGCTAAATGCTTCTACAAATGGCACAGTGCTAATTCAATCCTGACTTCAATCTCATGCACCAAAAGAACGGAGTCCCGCAAGTGACATCCCGTTTAAATAAAAATAATGCGTGGCCGTATTAACATGTGGGAATGAGATCCTAATGTGAAGCCATGACTTAGTAAGGCATGGGAATGAGATAATTAAGTCGTGGCCTTAAGATCATACCTTATTAAGCTGTGGTCAAGGCTTAATTATCTCATTCCCATGCCTTACTAAGTCATGGCCACCGGTTATTTTTATTTGTACGGGATGTCACCAGCAGGGCTCTATACAAAAGTAAATATTGTACTTTTTCCTTAGATGCTGTCAATCCTAGTGAGTCCCCACAAGCAGCTAAATACGCACAGAACTTTATTCACACGGGCTTTGCCAGGCCAATTTTATTTAGCCCCCCTCCTAATGTACAAGCAAATGTACATTACTAGTCCAAATTATCTATAGTTTATTCTCATTCACAATACACTGTAATAGCTGGGCGCAACCTGGGGGAGGAGCTAAGTAGGGCACCTCCTCTGCTGTGCTACCAGAGATTGACTAACGTAAGATTCGGCCAATCATATCCAACCTTATATTCTGTAAGCCAATCATACCAGACATCATACTACGTAAGCCAATCATATTAGACCTGAGGGAGGGGCTCTGTTTATGCACTGCAATGTAAAAGGGTAACGGAAGATTTTGGCTAAAAGCTCACTAAAATAAACATTAGACGTTACTCAAAATCTCTAATATACAGAGTCAAACAGAGCGAATTCATCAACCTACAGTATGGATTTGAGGCAATTTATGGTCACTATAGCTGGATATCTGTTTTTACCTGGTTGTGAAGTAACTAACCTAACTAACGCTAGCTAACTTTCATTAACTTTGCGTTTAAGTAAGGTAAGGAAAATAGGCTAGGCTAACAGAAACATTAGCTAGCTAACTAGCTGACAAGCTAACCTAATTAGTTTAAGAGATTATTGGCAGCTCTTTATATGCTTTGTTTTTAGATTTCTCTTCAGTATTTATGAACAATGACACCATATTTGCCATATATTGTTGTAAGTTAATGTCAGTGAAAGGGTCGAGGCTGAAGTTGTTTTCCTGTTCTCCTGAGTCTTGTCGAATTTCCCGCTGCGAGGCGCCAGAATGAAACTGCTGCAGCATTAAAGGAGGAAAATTCAAATAAGAAGTTTGATAAAAATGAATGTATTACTCAACACAGGAACAGAGAGAGAGAAAGACGAAGCTGACAGGACTGAAGGAGCAGAGCTGATGGAGGTTAGTGATCATGAAGAAAGCGAGGGAGAGTTGTATAAACCTTCGGTCAAAATTAATACTGAATTTAAATTAACTGAGAAAATATAATATTTGTCACCATGACCACGATATTCTGTCATTCTTATTAAACAAGCCTATAGAGCAAAATCACACCCTTTCTGATTGCACTACCTGAGACTGATCTATAATCTGTGTGTTTGAATAAGAGTATAACTATATAGAGACAGATCTACTGTGGGCCAGTTTGACCACATAACCATTTTTATGTACTTAACACGCTCCTGTAGTGGAGAGACTGGATTCGTGTGGGTTTCGGCTGGTGGTCACTGGCTGAAGTGATTGTGAATGTGGTTTAAATTATAATTCAGGGCTGGCTGTCATTTTTCTGCAGTTTGAAATGATCGCATTAGACATCTACAGGGGGAGAAATGAACAACACGACTAAACGTCGCTGCGGTGGGTCTTTTCATTTGTTCTCTGCTGCCCCCTGTTGACTCTCCACGCACTGTGAGCTGCACTGAGTTGTGTGTAGACCCGCTACACTGGGGAAGCAGTGATCAACAATAAGAGCAGTTTTCTCCAAAACCACGACGGGAAGAGAATCGCTTAGCCTAGCTGTGAGTGCTAGGCCTGTAATCTGTCTCTCTGTTTGCACTCTGATTTCACACGGGCATGAGTCACTAGTGCAGAGAGAGAGATGAAATGCACACGAGAAATACTCATACACAAAACATATGTATAGAAAAGATATATATATATATAATATATATATATATATATAATATATATATATATATATGTAAAGAGAGACACCCACAAAAAACACAGAGAGAGGTGGGTGAAAAAGAGAGAAAGAACCCACAAAGAAAACCATACAAAAACAGAGAGAAACAAGTATAGAGAGAGAGGAGCACAGAAAGACAGAGAGAGATATGTAGAGAGAAACAGATGCACAAAGAAAAACAAAAATATAGAGAAAAGAAAGAAGATGCAGGGAGAGAGAGAGAGACCTCTTCCTCTATAGGTGCCTGTAGTGCTGTATCAGGTGAGTAAGAGTGAGTGAGTGAGTGAGCGAGTGAGCGAGTGGAGAGCCGCGCGCGCCTCTGAGTGGGAGAGCGGGAGGCGGAGCGCGCGAGCCGCCGTTACCGAGCAGCACAAACCGGAGTAACGGACACACTGCGCTGAGAGAGGATCTCTAATGGGCGAGAGAGGTAGGAGATAGGAGAGAAAAGCGCCATAAACCAGCACTCGCTGCACTTTCACACCTGGAGCCGCCTCACACGACCAGCTGGACCAAAAAACTTCGGCGAGGTCGGCGCGAACAGGCGCTGCGGGTGATTTGGTGGAGTTCAGCTGTTTGAAGGCTGGTTCATGGCGGTTGCTTGTTACCTTAGCTAATGTGAAGAGTTCTGGAAACACTCAATAGTTCTTATTTTTTTCTTTCGTAAGTAAACTTAGCGGTGTCTTATCCGTTCCTTAGTAATATTTCCGTGTTTATCTCTCTCACCTCTCAGTTGAGCACTTTTTAGCGAATTTCCTGAGGACTAGTTAGTCTGAAGAGTATAGGAGGTGTTTGAAATGTGTAATTTAGCTGCTTTGCTACGAAGCTAGGCAAATTTTGCTATGTGGCGAGAAGTACGAAAATAGAAGGTAGCTAGTGGGGCACAACAAATCCTCAACAAAGCTGAAAACAGTAAGGTTACTTACAGGGTGAGAACTGAATATGACTCAGATTCAGATATAGTGGGAGCATTCAGGTGCTCTGGTTGATGGTTGTTCAAGGGTTCTTTAGTAAAGGGAATGGTTCTGTATAGAAGTTCTACACAGATCAATTTGCATGCCTGAAGGTTCAAATTTAAGGAGGTTGTGAACTGTATATAGTTCTATATGGAACCCTTTTAAAAATATAGCGCCAAAAAGGATTCTGCTGTTGTCAGTCTAGACAGTATTTGGGCTATATAGAACCATTTTTAAAAGGGGTTCCATATAGACCCGTATACAACACATTCTCCATCAATCTGAACAACAATTTCACCAGGCAATCGAACATTTAAGCATGCAAATGGAAACCTTTAGAACCATTCCCTTTACTAAAGAACCCTTGATCAACCATCTGTTTAAAGTATGTAGACCATGAGGAGACTCTGATATTACATAATAAGAGGTTTGTGTTAGAAAACATAGGCTTGTGGTTAATATTGGGTTACTCACTTTTGACTGGCTTTTTGTAATGAAATAAAGGTCATAGTGCCTACAAAGTCTGTCTGTGTCTCTCTCGCTCTCAAAATGTTCAGTTTTCAGCCTGTTAGGTAACAGTGAGTAGGGCTGGGTGTATCATAGTAATAGTAATTTCTTCTAGCTCACTTCAGAATTGAGAGATTCAACTTCACATTACTTGATCTGAGGTAAACCACAGAACAAGATGATATGATATAACGACTAATACACTAATTATGTTATAGGACTAATGACTAATATAATGAATAATATGTGTGGACATCATGGCAAAAATATAACGTCATGGTACTTCAACATTTTCTCAATACACTACATGTATTGTGATATTCAGTTTTTCAGTCAGAACAGACAAAAAAGCCCCAGTAGTGCCATACGTAAAAAATACCATCTGAAACTATGAAAACTATTATTTTAATTCTGTGTTGCAGTTTCACGTCTTGCGATGAACTAAATCCAATTACACAGACCAAATTATGATGTCTTTGTAATTAAACATGCAGTTTGTTAGGACATGACGATAACCCGTGTGCTCGGAAAAGCATATTGTGACGTAATGTGAAGTAATTTATGACAATAACAATAAATACTGTTATATAGTCTCCCCTTAATTAATGCACTGTGTATGGTTAAAATGTATACTCCATGGCAGCTTGTGGCCACTGTTTGATGCAACATTAGTCTGTTAGGTCCTGATATTTCATTACTTTAACCAGTTTTTAACTTCTTAATGTAATACTCATCTGTAGTCAGGATAAATGTGGGTGAAATGGCAAAAATGTAACATCAACACATTTTCACAGTAACAGAAAATGTGTTGATGTTACATGATGTTATGTGATTTTTTGTGGACAAAATGCATCTGGAGAAAAAAAAATAAGATGAAGGCATAATGGTATGACATCCAGTCAGCTACTTGTTACTGTGCAGCTTATACTGTTGCTGCATGCTGGCTTGATCTTAAATTGATCTAAATCTGTCTTTCATGATACATGCAGTTGTTCAGCATTTTAGAAGTACTGCTAATGTCCATTTACAAAATGAATAGCAGGATAACAGTAACATATTGTCATAGTGCCCATCCCTAGTTCAGCCCATTTGACCGTTTTGTTTCCAGTTCTCTTGATGACTAATCTGATCTTTTTATTTCTGTAGCATGACTTTGTCCAGTGCCCCACCACTTCGTAGAGGAAGCACCCCTGTTCCAATCAAACATCAGCTCAGAAGGGAAGAAGCAGTCAATGATGACTGTGATTGGACGCCGGGACTTGGCGGAACATCCCCTCCTCCAATAAGCTTCATCCCGGCACAGGATGAGGTCATTAGTGTAGACGTGGAGGAGAGACAGGATGGCCCTCTGAGGATTGCACTACTTGGCCAGAATGGGGTGGGCAAAACGTCACTCGCTATCGCCCTCGCAGGGGAGATGGACAGGACTGCGTCTGTGGATTCTGATGGTACAGTGATTTACTAAAGTTATGCATCCACTTTATCATCATCATCCACATTAGCAGAATTTTATATCTTGTATTTCCACTTTATGAGGTTCACCTACCGTTATCGTACAGACCCACGTAATGGGTGTACAGTTACGTTCTGTAGCCCATTTCTGCAGATTTGTTTAGCTGCCCTCTATCCTGTCCATCATTGGTCAGTTTCTGAAAACAGGACCTTTGCAGTGACATGGGCTCAGATGAACTGTAACTGCACAATGGCATGGTAGAGTTTCCAGGTAGGTGTTTCTAATTAAGTGGCTAGTGAGTACAATTTTGCATAAACTGGAAAGACAAGTGTTCTGTTGTTGATTATGATGATGATGATGATGATGATGATCTTTCAGTGATTGTTCACAGACATTTAACTGAGCTGTGGGTGTTTAATTGTTGCAGCATTTCTTTGACCCTGTACAAATACACTCACTGGTTAATGCATACAGATTAGGATCTGACTGACATGAAATTTGTTTGCGAGAATTAAAACTAAAAAGTTCCAAAAACTGATAATATTAACAGTCCATTAATATATAATTTAATATGGTTAAAATTTCTGACTAATATACTTGCCAGTTCTTAAGTGTTATATTTCTTAATCTCAAATTAACAGCAAACTCTGGCAAAGTCTGAAATGCCCATATCCTGCATCGTCCTTGTATTTTATTTTCCCCCCTTATGGCCAAATGTAACATTTGTATGGGGGTAAGAATCAGTTTTTTGTGTTAAAGCGTAGGCCTAGACATATTTTACATGTTTCTGTCATTTTAACTATGATGGCGTTATGTGTTAGAATTCACCAGTTCAGCTTGTATAGCTGTAATAGAAGTGAGCAGATGTGAATGCCAACTTTGTAGTCTATAAAGTGAACCGTTTTTCTCATAGCAAAGATGCTATGGTATAAAGTTAACCAATATCCGTGAGATTTTTGCTGATACCGATAAATCAGCAGACCTCAAAAATATTATTGACCAAACAGTATATCCTTTGGACCCTAATACATATAAACACACTGGTTGATTTATACTGGGTAGAAAGGCAGACTGTGCTGTATTAGGTGCCAGTGAAATATCAGTCTGTCAGCAAATGTCGAATTATAAAACAAACGCCCTAGTTATGGCCTCTCGGACTAGACAGCTGGCTTGTTAAATGGAGACCAGGAGCGTGACCTTATGATAGCTAATGTGGTGCAGTGGATAACAGTGCTCGGTCAAATGTAAGTTGTTTTTCTGCAGTGTGTGGTGGTCTGTGCTCCGAAGGGAGCTTATTGCTGTTACACAAGCCCTAGGAGAGGGAAGAGAAAACACAGCAGTCCCTCAGGAACCTTTTATTCTCTCTGGTCACAGCTATTTGTGTGTGTGTGTGTCTGTCTGTCTTGTAGGAGAGGGCTATGTTCGAACTGTCACCGTGGATGACGAGGAGAGCACCATCTTTATATTTGATAATTGGAGACAGGTGAGATTTTTAAGCTCTGTGTGTGTGTTAGGTTGATCTCTGCACTGAAAGCATGAACATGAGCATGGTTTTCCTTTGTCTTCAATATGTCTGCCACATTTACCTTCTTCATATGTTTAAAGTACATAACTAGTTTAAAAAATAGAATGATATTTTGACATTTTCTTGTTAAAAAATCCACCAAGTATTTTATTACAAACATCTGTACACCTACACATTAATGCAGTTATCTAATCAGCCAAACATGAGGCAGTTGCGTAGGGCAAAACTTCATCCAGAAACAGCCCAGCAGCTTCAGGTAATGTTCACATTAACATTCACAAACAGTGTGATCTTAGTGATTTTGACGATGGCATGTTTGTTGGTGTCAGGCTTTGAGTATTTCTATAACTGCTGATCTCCTGGGAATTTCACGCACATCTGGTGTTTACTCAGAATGGTGCAATAAAGAAAAACATCTAGTGAGTGGCAGTTCTATGGATGGTTCTAAACTGGTTTGAGCTGACAGAAAGGCTACTGTAACTCAGATAACCACTCTGTATAATTGTCGTGAGCAGAAAAGCGTCTCAGAATGCATACATCAAACCTTGAGGTGGATGGGCTACAACAGCAGAGGACCATGTTGCGTTCCACTTCTGTCAGCCAAGAACAGAAAGCTGAGACTGCAGCGGGCACAGGCTCATCAAAACTGGTGATTTAAAGACTGGAAAAACATAGCCTGATCTGAAGAATCTTGACTTCTGCTGAGGCACACAGATGGTAGGGTCAGAATTTGGCACCAACAGCATGAATCAATGGACCCAAACTTCCTTGTGTCATTAGTCCAGGCGGTGGTGTAATGGTGTGGGGAATGTTTTCTTGGCACACTTTGAGTGCTCCAGCCTGTTTGAGTATTGTTGCTGAGAATGTGCGTCCCTTCATGACCACATTTTACCCATCTTCTAATGGCTTCCAACATGAAAATGCATCATGTTACAAAGCAAAAGTCGTTCAGTTTCATGAACATGACAGTGAGTTTTTGTTCTTCAGTGGCCTGTCCAGTAGGGGCTACCGATTATCAGCCTGACTGATAGGTAAAAACATTGCGGTTCAACAACGTAGTTGGCAAAAAAGCTCAATGCACTCGCTTATTTAATTTCACTGACTCCAGCCAAACAAACATGACTCGTGCATGCAGCTCGAGCCCTGTCCGAAACACTATGTGGTGAGAATGAGGTTCCTGTGTGTGGGGGCAGACACGCTGTTCTGTAGGAGTTTGAACGCATTCAGAATGTGTGCGCCTGCAGCAAAGCCTTAGTGGACCAGCTATGAAGACAAGTCTCTAGAAAGCAGTAAATTATTTGTAAAATCTTATTGTATTGTTTTACATTTAACAAAAAAATTATACATAATTTCTGGTCAATTTCATTTCTGTTTTCTCTTGGTAAACGTGTAGACAGCAACTTTCAAAGATTCCACCACTCTGCTTAGACTAAACAGACTGTTTCCACAGAATCATGCAGTGCAAAAGACATCTGATATACTCAGCAGCTCAACTACTGCTTGTCATGGCATAAAATATTCCTTCATTGTTGTTGCTTTTTAAAAAGTAGTGACAATTTTACTGCATGATTGTTTAGATGCTTAGTGTAATACTTTTACTCTAATACATTAACAGTTCTATGTATTTGGTTAGTGTAAGCTTTTGAGCCCCTTTTTAGCTCCATTTTTCTTTCAAATGTCACTGACTAATAAACGTCCTTGAGAGCTAGAGATATGTTTATTATCTTAAAGGCAACTTTAAAATGTTTGTTACTGTTTTTGCTGTCTGTACTGTCTAAAGCTTAAAGCAATTTATTTTTATAATGTTCTAGTGTTCATAATGTAAGTTGTGAATAAGAGTTGCATCCTTGTAAATTTTCACTTTTTCATCTATGGTAAATGAACATCAGCCCCAAATATTGGTTATCGGTATCCTTCGTTACTAATAATCAATATCGGTATCTGCCCTGAAAAAAATATCAGTCAACCCCTACTTCCCAGTCACAGGATCTGAATCCAAACCCCAAACCCGAATCTGAATCCAGTCCAGTCACAGACACCTTTGGGGTGTGATACAGCTTGAGATTTACAGCATGAAAGTGCACCTGAAAAATCTGCAGGCATATGATGCAATAATGTCAGCATAGAGCAAAATCTCAAAAGAATGTTTCCAACATCTTGTGGAATCCATGCCACAAAGAATTGAGACTGTTTGAGAGCAAAGGCCCTACCCTGTATTACTATAATGTTTCTAACAAAGTGCTTAGTGAGTGTGTTGGGGTGTTGAATTAAATACACTTAGACTTCATACTAAAAATTGTGTGATAACAGGAATGGTTTCTATAGTTCTGTTTGGCACAATCCCAAATATTCCTAAAAGGAATAATCATCAAAGTAAAAAAAATGGAAGAATTTAGCTTCTTAGCTTCTTATTTGCAAAACAAATAAGAATTTAGAGTCATGAATTCCTAAGAGCTACTCTTTTTATAGAAACGCAAGGTCTGGCTGTATAATGCTGTTAATAAACTTGTAAAGCTTAGTTCATTTAATGTTGAGATGTAGCCTTATAGTCCACACATTTTTTGTTTGCTTTTGTTATTATGAGCCATAATAACACTCATTTGCCAAACACAAGTGCAAGTGAAAGTTATGTTAGAATTTCTCCTGAAGTATACACCATTATATAGATGGGATTTTGTACAGGTATGATGTCTCCTGATTTAATCAGTGTTTTTCTATGGCATTACCCAAATAATGGGATCCTGTTATTTTACATATTGAAAGTTATTATTATAGTAGAGGTGCTCTTGAATTCAGCCATAGATGCCAACAGAAATCATGAAATATTATATTCTCATACTTTTATTTTCATTTGTTGACTTAGTTCAATATCTGGTCTGATTGTTCTAGAAATGTGGCTGTTGAGCCACACTGGTTGAATGCAGAGACAGAGGAGGCAGACAACATACCTCTACAAAAAGTTCTCTATGTAACAGTGTATGGTTTCGGTCATCTTCAGACCACAGCATCGGGTTACACACATTAGATAAAGGGCTTCCCTTCTTGGGAAAAACAATGTTATGTCTCAACACTTATATATTTTGACAATATAGGCAAAATGGCCTTGGACAAAAAGCATCAGACTAAGCTAAGCACCTGTAGACACTATGGCCTCGGGTGGTTAAGTTTGTGTGACGTTCGTGATTCCATTTGTTCTTACTGGATTATTTACAGTTTTGTGGAAAAAAGAATGGTAACCGTATACTGCAACCACAAATTTACTGAACTGCATCATAATTGTGTTCTGTTATTTGACAGAGATTAAGCTTCAACTCACAAGTTAACCTTTTTTTCCATGCAATTTTGCACTTTTATTTATATTATTTGTAATTTATTTTATGTCTTCTGAGAAAGTATGAGCCAGAAATTTGTGCCAGTTATCCCTTCAACAAGTTGTTGTCTTTTTTGGTGGAAAAAAAAACATTTCGGAATTACCAAAAAATAAATAAATAAATGTGAAAATTATATTGGTATTCCTCCTAAAACATACAGCATTACATAGCTTTTTGTAAAGGTATGATGTCTCCCAGTTTCACTTTTTCCACAGTCATTTTCCATGCGATTACCCAAATACTGGGATCCTGCACAGGCCTACTTTACATATTAGAAGTTATCATTATAGTGTAGAATTTCTGGAATTCAGTCATAGATAGCGGTAGAAACCATGAAGTATTATATTTTCATAGTTTTCCATCTCATCTGACCTATAGGGATGCAATGGTATAGGGGGCCTTCAGTTTGTTTGTTTATATATATATATATATATATATATATATATATATATAGAGGTATGGTTTTGGTATCTTTATTTGATTCCTTTTCCAAAAAAGGTTGGGATTTTGTGCAAAATGTAAATAAAAACAGAATACAGTGATATGCACATCATTTAATCCCTATTTTTCATTTAAAATAGTATCAAAACAACATATCAAGAGTTAAAACTAAGAAATGTCACTGCTTTTGAAATCGTATATGTCCATTTTGAATTTGATGGCAGCACCGCATTGCAAAAATGGGACAGGGACATGTTTACCACAGTGTTGCATCAACTTTGCTTTAAGCAACACACTGTAAGTATTTGGGAACTGAGGAGACCAGTTGTTGTAGTTTTGAAAGTTAAATGCTTTCACATTCTTGCTTGATCTAGAATTTTAGCTGCACAGTTAATGGGTCTTTTTTTGTTGTATTTTTTGTTTCATAATGTGCTAAATGTTTTGATGGATGACAGATCTGGACTGTAGGCAGGCCAATTAAGCACCTGGACTCTGTTACTAAAGAATCATGCTGCTGTAGTTCATGCAGAATGTGGTTTGGCATCGTCTTGCTGAAATAAGCAAGCCCCTGAGAAGCACGTCATCTGTAATAATGCACCACCATACCATCACAGATGCTGGTTTTTGAGCTGTTTGCTGATAAATAGCTGGATGGTTCCTCTCATCTTCAGCCCAGAAGACACAGCGTCCATGATTTCCAAAAAGAATATCAAATTTTGCTTTATGAGGCCACCATACACTTTTACTCTTTGACTCAGTCCATCTTAAATAAGCTTGGGCCCAGAAAAGGCAGTGGCATTTTTGGATCCTGTTAATATATTACTTTTCCTTTGCATGGTAGAGTTTTAACTTGCATTTGCGGATGCAGCAATTAACTGTGTTTACAGACAGTAGTTTTCAGAAGTGTTCCTGAGCCCATGCAGTGAATCATGTCTATTTTTAAGGCAGTGCTACCTGAGGGCCCAGAGATCACAGCCAGCCAATACTGGTTTTTGGCCTTGTCCTTGGCATACAGAGATTTCTCCAGATTCTCTGAATCTTTTAATGATATTATGTACCGTAGATGATACATTCCCCAAGTTCTTTGCAGTTTTAAGTTAAGAAACATTATTCTTAAATTGTTGCACAGTTTACCACACAGTCTTTCAGAGTGGTGAACCCCTCCCCATCTTTACTTTTGAAAGACTCAGCCTCTCTGGGATGCTCTTTTTATGCCCAGTCATGTTACTGACCTGTTGCCAGTTTAGTTGTGAGATGTTCCACCAGGTGTTTTATTAGCATTACACAACTACAGAAATTCTGATAGGCTCCAGAGAAATTCTGTGGATCTGAATGTACAACCTGTGTGTAGTCTGCAGCGCAATAAGCAAGTTTTGCAAAATGTAGGAAAATAACAGGCGTATAGTAATAATGCAGTTCATGTATCCGTATTAAACCGTAGGGGGCGTATCGACGGTTCAATAACATACCATGTACTATTGCATCCCTATTACAGTGTCCTAATAGCTTATTATTGTAAAAATGCATTATTTTGAATGTAAAAGAAAATAAGTCCTATATGTACATATTAATTAATATTATTTAGTAAGCTTTTTAAGGTTGAACTAGTCCTCTCTATTTTTCTGTCACTTCTCTTCCCCAGCGTGCCAATTATCACCTTTAAAGCATTGTCTTTGGGTTACTTTTCAGTCAACACTGATTCGGATTACATCACCCAGTCATCCAGGCCTACATGTCTGTGGCATATTGTGGCTTGTTGCCGTGCTTATCACAACAACACAACAGGATGAAGTGTCTCATTTCTAGCATGGTTATTAAAGTCATTTGTACAAACCAAGCAATGCAAATAAATTGGTCACTATGGCATCTGGTTTGGGATTTCCAGAAGTAACTAAAACATTAGTCATTTAGATGGACTTGGGTAAGAAATGTCTCTTTGAAACATATGGGAAGGCTTTAGACCTAGCTATCTATCACCAAATCAGAATTACTGTTAAAAAAAATTATAACCCATTCACTCACGTGCTTGATGCGTTTGCATGTGAGTACGGAAGTGTTCCAGTTTCACAGTCTCTTGTGATTTTATGCAGATTGAAAGACATTTTTGAGGAATTATACCAGTGAATGGGTGGGAACGAATAAAAGAAAAAACTCAGAATTATAAACATTATGGGCCACAAGGAACTAAGATTTCAAAAGAAAATGCACCTGACACTGCATAACTGTAAGATGTACTTATCTAATTTAGCTTCAAGATATTCACATTTTAATACTTATTAGTGACTTACTGAAATGAAAACAAAGATGAGAGAACAAAACAGTACACTTTATCTGTACAACCTATGTTTTATTACCATGAACCTGAAGAATGACATTTTGTTCCACTGTAAGTTATATTGAGGAATGACCATAAAGACTGCTAGACTTGACTTGATTCGTACATTTTGAGGTAGATGATATTCACTCCAGGAAAGGTTTCTGATTCTGCATGTACTGTCTGCTGACTGGCTGAACTGCCTGGTGTCCAGTGCACCTTTGTGCTTTGTGCCTATTAGGGCAGGGTAATTGCTGTGGATGTGTTGAAGACAGCTAGTGATTCAACTGTGCTCCACAGGGTGTTGCTACGCTAATGAAGAGTTGAGGAAAGCAGCTCTTGGGGAGACTCTCTGACTCTGTGGGCCTCTAATAGCTTTTCTCTGCAGGCAGGAGAGAGTGTTCCTGAAAAAAAATACTTTAAAGAAAATGTATTCAAACCGTGTAATGACAGTACAGAAAGGGCAAGGTTGGGTAATGATCGGTCAATTTCACAGTTCTTTCACAATTTTTTCTGTGATATTACGTAGATTATAAGTAACTTGAGGTGGCACAGGAACCAATACTTTGGTGCCATATTGTAGCCAAAATGAAAAAAAAACATAAAAGCACTGATTTTCTACAGATTAAGTAGCTCAGAGTCGAAATTGATGCCACATTCTTGTCTGACTGCACGCAGATGAAAACAGACGCAGGAATCAAACAGTGTGACAAGTTCGCCACTGCAGCAATAGCACCACTAAATAAAGCTGTTTTCACACCTAGTTGATTTGCTAAAGTCTGCACCAGTTTGGGTTTCTGTGAAATTGTCTCTTTTTTCATTTGGTTTGGTTGATTTCACAACAGCTAAAGTGCACTAAAAATACATGTGTGCTCATTGTTTGGTTAGAATTTTGAAAGGGATCCAAGTGCTCTGTTATTTTGACGTTTGTCTCCATTGGTGCCAATAACTGACCTTTCTAAATGTTCTCAAGCTCATCATTTGGTAAAATCCAGATCTGTCATATCCATCACACACGTGTACTGTTGATAAAAATGTATTTTCTCACCCATTTCATAAAGTGGAAATTGAGAAACTTAACTGTGTATGTCACAATCCAAGCAATAACTGTACTTGATCTCTACTTCTTCATGATTTGGATTGTCAGTTTGAATTTAACCAATCAATCAGATCTCTAATGCTTGGCCCAAAGTACTTTCTGTGCTTCATGTGTCAAAATCAAATACTTTGCTGTACTTTTATCTTATTGCTTGTCTACTGTTATTAGCAGCAGCTTGGGCTACAAGAAAGACATGAGCATCTGTCGAGTTAAATATTAAAACAGACAGATTCTGAGGACAGTACAGCACTGACTTGCTAGGAAAAAGTAAAGAATGCTCTGATGTTAATTTCCCTTGTTTGGTGCAGACCGTCATAAAAATCTATTTCCTCCAGCCATAAACTAAACCAGTGTTCACATGGAAGTGGACTGAGACCTGGGTTTTTGTGGTTTATCCATGAGATTCAGATGTTTGGTTTGATGTGCACTGTTCAAGTATGAAAACAAACTGTCCTAAATAAAACATTTAATTTGCACCAGACAGCATAGCACACTAAACTCACATATTAAAATACATTTCCTTCGAGATAAATGAAAGTAAACAATGTCTTTGATCATTTCAAACTAAAAGTGAGGGAGGTATTATCAAATTTAGCAATTGAAAGAGCCTGAACAGGTCACTTTCAGTTCAGCCTCATGGTTAATTAACAGCTAGCATAGCAAAAGTGGTCCAGAAATACAAGTGTTGTTATTATTTTTCTTTGAAATTACTGACATTGCTTTGTACTCCTGTTTGGAATTGCTGGAAGGCTACATGCCATTATGCTGTTTGTTTTAGTTGTTAATGTTCACATTTACTTCAGTTGTTAATGGTTTTTGTTGTTGTGGTATCAAATGAGGTATTGAGAATGTAATTTCACTGGTATTGGTATTGGCTACCAGAATATATATGGTGAAATGACTACCAGAATATCTGTGGCCAATACAAGAAAATATATAGACCTGGCACACTCCAGCCGCTTACTGACACTCAGATCTTGGCACATTGATATGTGTATTCGAACACTTCATATAAGAGTCTAATTTACTCCACAGCTCCAGCAACTAATTTGCTTGGGCAGAAAATAAATTACAGCTCCTTTCCTGTTTTCCAGACTATCGTACTAATAATGAAGATGTTTCAAATAGAAGGCGCACAGACTCTCATTTGCATTTGGGTTGCAGTTCTACCCTGCTCTTTTTGAACGCAACAGGGAGATGACACTTTATCTTTCAGAAACATAGTTGAAAGTTCCTAACAAGTGTGTTGGAATCATTAGCAAAAACTGAACTGAAGATCAATAAGAGCTTCGCTCTTTTTTTTTATACATCCAGTGAAGTTACATAGTTTCCCTGCACACTTATTTTGTTTGTTATTATCATTATTAATTTTCTTAAAACATTGATTCCCTTTGGGAAGACAGCAGCTTTCATTATTAAGTTGGAATCACTATTTAAGACTGACTGAGCAAAATGTGTCTCTATGGCTCTTTCTGATAAAATGTGCTTTTCTGATTTGCATCAAAATTCTTAATGCTTCTTGTGAAATTTTAATATATAATCCAGGAATCTGAGGTCTAGACCCAAATTGAGAATAAAGGCTGTGATTTCATCTCTTCAGCAGTTCCACCATGTCAGATTCATGAAAATATCGCATACATGGCATCAGTAAAAAGGCAGTTTAGACATGACAGTAGACATGACGTTATGATCATCATGATAGCTATGCCCCAAAACGTTTAGGGAGTTTTTCAAAGGCTTCTAAAGAGAAGTCTGTCAGGAAGATGAACATGCCGGCAATTACATTTCAGTCACGTCTCCCATAATGGGCTATTCGATGTTTAGCACTTATTTTTCCTGCACAGGTGTTTCAGACTGCAGTGCTGGAGGGCCACAGGACTGCATAATTGCTCTAAAACACCTGATTCAACTCATCAGCTAATTATGAAGTCTTGTCATTGTAACAACTTTTAAGTTCAGCTCCATGAAGAGTGTAACGGGGGCTTTGAGTTACGTGGCCTTGGAGTTTTCATATTCAATTCAAAAGGCTTATTCCAAAAAAATCTTCAAAAATATATGTGACTTCAAAGCCACCCATTACCCATTATTGAATTCACCTGCTATTTTGGCTGATTCTGCCTGGTATATAACTCCCACAAGAGTACCCAGAATGCCATGTGAGTCCAAGCACTCACACAAAAATCCATTATACCAACGACCGGCTCATAAGAGATCATCTGCTATCATCTACTTCACACGTGTTGAAGCACCAGCCGCTGTGTAGCAAATCAGCATGGTTCATGCGTATGTTTCAGATGAATCATGTATTTACACCGACAGTAACACATTGGATGTCTCTCTCATGCTTTCTCTTCCTCTCTCTGTCTCACGCGCTCTCGCTCTGACAGGATCTGTCCACGCTGGTGTGCGAAGTGTGTGTGTTGGTGTTTTCGGTGACAGACAGACGCAGTTTCCACCGCACGGCTCAGCTCCGCCTCCTCCTCAGGGAAAACCAGCCCCAAACGCCCATCATTCTTGTGGGTAATAAGAGTGATCTGGTCCGCTCCAGAGAGGTCACCACAGAAGGTATGTTCTGTTTGACCTGCTTACTACTCATTTTTAAATGAAGAGCTGGGAGCGTTGAGATAATTGTCCAGTCCCGTGTTTCCTCTACCATAGAAATTAGTGAGCGTCTCATCAAGTAATCTTGGTCATCTGCCCACTAATCCCATCTAAAAAAAGCACAAGACAGTGGAACCTTCACATTAAGGCAGATATGTTTGTTGTTTTTTTTAAGACTCTGGGAACACGGAAAGAGAATGGAAGAAGAAGGAAAAATCTTAAATAGCAACGATTAGTATATTATTTTTCTTTTACACATTGCATCTAAAAGGTGAATACATTGGTTACACCCTAATCTACTAAGAAGACCAGGCTTGAACAGAATAGGTGTAACCTAGCCTAGATAAACTTGGACTGCACCCATGACAATGACAATAACTGTAACCAAAGGGACATCATCATTCAGAATAATCACAGAAAACAAACTGGTAAGGGCAAACACGAAAGGGGTAGGTCGAAAAACACAAAAAAGATCATACACAAAAAGGCTTAACAAAAACAGAACACTCAGTATGCAACAATGAAGTTGGCGGTACTTCACAATGTGCTAGTCCAAAGCCCAGGCTTAAATACTGACTAGCTAATGACTAGATGATAAATAGGCGTGTGTAATCAGAATTCTGGTGAGGAGGAACAAAAGAATGAACGTTCATTGGTGGATGGTGAAGGGAGGACTCCAACTCATTGGAGTTGGAGTCCTCTAAATAGTCCATGGACTCAACTGATCCCACAGGAGAAAGAGAATAGACAAAGGAGACATCCTCGGCAGGAGGCGTGACATTAGTCAGTAGGAGTGGGGGAAAAAAATCGATTCTTAGATGCATTGCGATGCGGACGTGGATGATTCTGAATCGATTCACAAATGTCAAAAATCGATTTTCTAATATTTAATTTATAATGTAATGTTGATGGAACGCAAAAGGCGAAACTTGGAAGTGGGTAAGTGCAGCGCCCGGACAGTCTCTGACGTGCACATAACAAAAACACAATTGGATGAGTGAGAAATCCGACCGGCACCCTCTACATTAAAAGCTAGGTTAGGTCAGGAGTCGACAACCCAAATGTTAAGAAGAGCCATTTTGTCCTTTCAACAAAAATCAGACGACCTTGGGAGCCACAACATTTTATGTCCAGTATGTCTCAGTATGTGCTAATATCCTAGTATAGGCTAAAAAATATAAACAAAAATGCAGGCTTAGAACAGTTTCTTGTAAAATGTCTCTCAACGTTCAACTGTTTTACGAAGCTGAAGTCAATTCTCATTCACCAGCTTCTCGTTTGAATTTCCCCATTCCCCCATGCCTGAGGCGCCAGAATGTAAAGGCGTTTAAGGTGGAAAGGGACAATTTGAAAGAGAAGCTGACTTCAGCTTTGCAAAGTTTTAGTGTTTGTCAGTCTATCGTTGCAGATTTCGTACCAGGAAACCAACTGTGGTGCTTATAAATGCGAATAAGTCCATTCGTCTCCATCTGTTCATCTTAAATCGCTCTCTTTGCCTGTGAGACTGTGCGTTGCTATGTGACCTGCAGTCTGCATGCCAGCCTTCAGGGTTATAGGGTAGTGAATTAGCAGCATTTAAGAACATTTATTGTTAAAACAGTGTTAGAACGATCAGTAGAGCTTTATTTTACTACAAAGGAGGATTAAACGACAAACATGAGAAACCATATTACACATTTCTACCCGTTTTCCTACCGGTTGTACTTGCTGCCAACCAGAGGAGAATCGAACAAGCGATGTCAAAGCTTCCACCCAACTCGGAAGCGAATTACAAACTCTGTCGCACCTTTAATTGCCAGGGATTTGCCATACTAAGTCGTTGAGAACCAGGGCTTTCGTGCTGTGTTGCACATTTTGGGGCTGAGATACAGCGTCCGGTCTCGAAGATATTTTACTGACGCAGCAACCCCCCCTCTCTACAACCAGACCAAAACCAAAGTTAAGGACGGCTGTAACGTGCTGCGTGGACATCCATTGCCACAGGATCTTATTTCACTGTAACAGCGCATTTTATCACAGATGAGTGGCAGCAGCGTCTCATGTGCTCCAAACAAGAGCACTGAATGAGAGCCTTCCAGTTCACTTACCACATCACTTCCATTTGTTTTATTAAAAAAGATATTGGAAGTAAATTCATTCTGGATCATTCCAGATACTTTGCTTTAAAAATACAAAGTCGTCAGAAAAAAGAAATGCTGTATAGGAAAAAAAAAGATGCATCGAGATGCATCGATAAACGTTTTATAATCGCATCACAGCCCTCTGAATCGTAATCAAATCGAATTGTGAGGCGCCTAGAAATTCCCACCCCTATTAGTCAGTCAGTATCCAACTCACTTCAGCTGGTACTGATAAAACCACAGGTCATCAATATTAGCTGATGGTAACCTTGGCACTCTTGCACAGCTTGCTGTATGCTGTTATGTTAATCACCAAAGCTTTTATACCAGAAAAACAATGCACACAGAAAGCAACACAGAACATTTTTATGCGTCAGGTCCTTTTTTGCCACTTGCGATCAGTAGCATTATAGTGGTTACTAACTAGGAACACTAAAATATTCAATATTAATTCTATATTGTGTCATCTAGACCTGTAATCAAGACAGTTTAACAACCAATGAGGCCCTCTAAAAATAAATTATCAAAGAAACACTGATATTCTTCATGCGCTAATATATTGTTCTTTTTTCATATTCAAGAGAATCCAAGAAACGTCTTCCTCTAAGACAGATCATTTCTGTACAGTTTGACAATTAAAAAGAGCTTTTTGTAAGTGCACAAATGTAGTAATGACAGAACATTGTGAATAGCACAGTTATTTAAGAGCTCTGTGTGTTCTCCTGTAAATAAATCCGTGTCAGTTGGCTGACAGCAGCTTACTTCACCAATTTTGAAGTAGAGCACGTTCAGATTGGGATGTGCTGCCTGAGCCTGTGGCCTAGAGCCAAATCGTTCGAATGTAGATTCAACTCAGAGTCAAATTCTAAAAATGTCTGGGTGCGGTTGTGCAAGCAGTTAGCTTGGATATAGATTTTTGTGCAGCGTGACCTTTAAATTTGTGCACTGCACTTCCATCCCAAATGTTTTTTTCTGTATATAGTTGGTAAGCAGTTCTTGCTCTCTTTCCACCTCTGCCTCCATTTTCCTCAGTCTCTCTCTCTCTCTCTCTCTCTCTCTCTCGCTCTCTCTCTCTCTCTCTCTCTCTCTGTGGCTCTGCTGTCTGCCAGTGAATCTCTCACTCTGCCTTTCAGACTCTCCAAATCTTGCTCTTTCTCCTCTTCTCTGTGCAGTGACAGGCAGGGTGTGTGTGTATGTGTGTGTGTTTGTGTGTGTGTGTATGCATGAGTGAGTGAGTGTATGCAGGCGGTTGTTTGTGCATGTGCATTTTCCTTTCAGTGTGTGTATGTGTGTGTCCTATGTGGGTCCCAGCTGGAGGAATGGGATGTTGGCAGATTTATGAAAGCAGAGATGCACACTGGCAGAGAACAGCAGCATCCACTCTGTGTGGGAGGAGAGGAGGATGGGCTTTAACATGAAACTATACACTCACGCTCACACAATTTTAGATTGCTCTCACTGGCTGCATTTTTATGCATCTTTATCCATCTTTAAAGACAAAAGCAAAACAAAACGACTTTGGAGAAACTGGCACACACACACACACACACACACACTTTCTTTTAGGTCCTGCGAGTTTGTGGATGTTGTGTAATCTCAGCTCTCGCTGCATGTGTGTGCGTGCCTGCAGCGTGTTACATGGCATTTGGGGTTAATTGCATTCAGAGGCGTTGGATGGAAACTGCAGTGCTCTCTATCCAGACTCTAGCTCATTTAGAACTGTCCAGAAAGTTCTTTTAAGCCCTATTCAGATTGGATTAGTATATCACGTCTGTAACGAAATAAGATTGGATAAAAGTCTCAAATAGTGCCTAGTCAAACATGCGTGTTGGGGTGAGAAAAATTATAGATTTTTAGATGCATCGTTATTTTCTCTTAAAAGTGTTTAAATCCGTTCACAAAACAACATAATATGATTTATATATATGCTCAACATAACATTGAAAACCACATTAAAGTGTAAATGAAAGTCAACAATTGTGTAACAATGTTATTTGGATAAAAAGGATTCTGATAAAGTAAAGTTTTCTACATTAAACTTTGCTATACATGCACATACTGTTATATGACTGAAAACATAGAAATTATTGATTTAAATAGCTTTTTTAAACGATTGGAACATCCCATTCGTTTATGTATCTTTGGACTTTCTTATTGCAGTGTTTTATGCTTGGCTTCTCAAATCTAATATTTTTAATTTCTTAATGAATGATTTCATCAGCATTTCATGTTTCTGGTGAACACGAAACACTGTGAGCTCTACAGTTAACAGTATTTTTATAAAACCTATATATAAATAAGTTTTGCTTCTCAGCTTTTTAGGCTTTATTAGATGGTTAAATTGCCTATAGGCTTAACAAGTGCACAGATTGTAGGCTACATTCAAATTTAACTAAGCTAACACTTCTTGTTCATTGCTTCCCACACATAGTCTATACTGAATTGTCATTATTACCTTGGCAACTGTAGTCACTGCAGTGCAAAATGCTCTCTTTTTTTCTTTTTCTCATTGGCACTCTCTTTTTTGTTTTTGTTTAATAAATGAATGGTCTCAAATAAATGTGAAGTACGTCACGATTAGTTAAAAACTTAATTTACAAAATTGCAAGATGATTCACAACTTGCACTATATGTCCAAACATATAGACAGCCTTTTTTTATTAGTAGTTTCAGCTTCTTTAATTTGCACTAGTGTGCACTGTTTGTGGTCCAGGCCTAATCATCCAACCTGACCTCATGCTCATCCAACATTAGTATCTGACCTAAATCTCTTGAGGCTAAATGCAATCAAATTCTCATAGCAATGTTCCAACATCTTGTATAAAGCCATATCAGAAGTGTAGAGGTTGGTACTGCAACAAAGAGTGTACAAACTCTGTATTAATCCTTTGATTTACGAAGAAACGTTGGATGAGAAGGTGTCTACAAACCTTTGGACATTATATATATACTGTTCAGTTATGACCACCTCCTTGTTTCTGTGCTCATTGTCCATTTTATCAGCTCCACTTACCATATAGGTGCACTTTGTAGTTCTACAATTACAGACTGTAGTCCATCTGTTTCTCTGCATACTTTGTTAGCCCCTTTTACCCCTTTTACCCTGTTCTTCAGTGATCAGGACCCCCATGGGCCCTCACAGAGCAGGTGCTATTTGGGTATCTGTTTTTGGTTGGTGGACTATTCTCAGTCCAGCAGTGACACTTAATTTAAAACAGTGACACTTATTTAAAAACTCCCACTGCTGTGTCTGATCCACTCAGACCAGCGCAACACCACCACCACATCAGTGTTACTGCAGTGCTGAGAACGATCGATCACCCAAATAGGACCTGCTCTGTGAGGTTCCATGGGGTCCTGACTACTGAAGAACAAGGTAAAAGGGGGCTAACAAAGTACGCAGAGAAACAGATGGACTACAAAGTCCTCCTTCCCCCTGAAACTCTCTCCAGGTTTATTTTATACCTGTGGAAAACACTGTTGTTAATTAGAAATACAGGGAAAAATAATCGTAGTGTAATAATCGGCTGTAGAAATAAAAAAATTAAATACATTGACAATCTTTTTATAATTGCCCCTTGGCACCCTGAATCAAAATCAAAATTAAATCGTGAGGTGCCTAGAGAGCAACAGCCAAAAACATTTTTCCCCTAAATGAGACGACATCTGTGTGGAAAATCATGGACTTGTGCATCAGGACAGAACTAGTTTGGTGAAAACGGTAGGTAATTTTCTCAGGGGAGGAGGGAGAAAAGCACCGACATGGCCGTTCTAGATGGAAATTATATCGCACAGTAGCACCTGTACAAGAGAAAATTACGCTGTGTAAATTTAATTTTAAAAGGGCTTTAGCTGGAGAGACTTCAGCCGTTCCATTTCTCTTTGTATCTACCATCGGGGACGTATCACACTTTAATTAATGGATGAGATTTTAATTGCTGCCAATTAGGGAAATTACCATTTTTGTGGTTGAACATAATCTGTTCCCATTAGATTAGCAGCTCGGCACTGCCATCTCTCTTTCCCTCCCTCTCCCTCCCTCTCGTTCTCTTTCTCTCAGCTTCTGAGATTTTTCCGGAGATGTCTTGAGAAGTGTGTGTGTATGTGTGTGTGTGTGTGTGTGTGTGCTTGTTTGTGTGTGTGTGTGCTTGTGAGTCCACGTGTAGGTGAAGTTCTATAATGAGGCTTTTCATCTGGAGAGGCAGGTATCTGTTACACTGCTCTCTGTGTAATGTTTACAGACCAGGGTGAGGATGACTCAGAGACAGAGAAGGTGGGAGAGAGGGAGTGAGAGAAAGAGAAGGAATGAGAAACAGAGAGAGAGAGAGAGAGAGAGAGAGAGAGAGGAAAAGCAGAACTGAAGACAAGGCACTCCATGACCCACCTTGAGCCACAGTAATGAGTCGGCTGATTTTCTCCTCCCTCCTTCCTCCTCTTTTTCTTCTGGCTATGTTTACCACTGGGTCTGTGTTTTGTTATTTTCACTCTTCCAGTTTTTAACACTATTACAACGCTATTTGCTGAGAAATCATTTTTGCCGTATTATGACACGGGTGTATTAATAATTAAACTGTGAATATGAAGCAAGAGTATACAGTGTTACATGTTATTTATTTTGGGTATTTTTGCATTTTATCATTTAGGAAAGAGTTGTTTCATATACTTTAAAATGCCAGCTACTTTTTACACTGTCAAAATTTAATGACGTATGGACCAAATAGAAACGGTCCATATTACTACTACTAATAATAATAATAACAATAATAATAATAATATTGTTACTGATATCATATTAAAAGTTAGGAATACTTTTTGCTAAAAGTTACCGTTTTAGAAACACAGTGTTGTCTTGCAAGAGTGACGATATACATTGACAACAAGGTAGGAGTGTCTAATAGAATGGACAGTGAGTGGACACAGTGTTTAAAAAGTACAGCAGCACTGCTGTGTCTGATCCACTCACACTAGCACAACACTGCTATGGCAGTGTCACTGCAGTGCTGAGAATGATCCACCACCCAAATTACTCCTGTTCTGTGTTAGCCCTCCTTCGCGATAACACATGAGCTCGAGTGTTCTATTGCTTTTATACAACAGTTAAATAAATAAAGTAAGAAATAAATAAATTGGGCTGTGAACGTGGCATTTAATATGTTTTAATGTTAGCAATTCCTTACGCCAAATTATAGTTCCTTAACAAGCAGCTTGTTGCTATGTCAGAGTAACGAGCTCCGCTCACTCGCTGCACAGTCTGCCTTAAGCCTCGCCTTTTGAAGTATGAACTGAGCCATGAAACTGCTGCAATATCAGGTTTAGCTCAGTTTTTGTCATTTTTTGCTTGATCAGTGTTAAAGTTGTTTTGTTCCAGCCAGTCTGTAAAGCATCTTACAGCCCATTTTGTTTGGCGAATGGTATTCGGTTTATGTCTGGCTAGGTCCAGGTTGTTTAGCTGTTCTTCTGTCACAGCTGCCGACTGGAAAAACTGCTCAGTGGTGATGACAGTTTGAGAATTTAGTGCAGTCTCATCTTCAGAGTCTGACCAAATCGGCTGTCGGTCAAATGTGATCTTAAAAGTGTCCACTTTCCACAAAGTAAGAAGTAATAACGTTCAAATGGCTTGAGCATCTCCTACAGCTGTCAAAGTCGTTGCGTAGCAACAGTGTCTCAGCGGAGTGATACAGTGTTTGTGAAAAAAAGGTTAGAATGCTTCTCAACCAATCAGCTTGTGTGGCTGGAACTAACTGTTGTATAATATTATATATTTTTTATGAAGTAAGCACACCAAAAACAAACTGAATAAAGGCAAACTGAATAAAAAATTATTAAATTATACCCTAGTATTTGGTTGTAAACATCTTGCAAAGTCCAAACCTTTGACATGACTTCTTCTGACGAAGACTATCTTCTGATAGTCTTTCGGATGCTTTTGACAAACTTTCATGAGTACTTTTCAATTCTTGTTTATTTGGAGGGTTAAAAGGAAATTCCACACATTTTTTATAATTTCTTAATAATGCATGAATTTGAACAGGAACACTGGTACACTCCAAAACTTTCACTTCTTTCCTCTGTTTGGTTCCTTTGGTAGTTTTTGTACTGTTGCATAATAAATCATCAGTAAATGATATTGAAGGTAATTTCATTCAAACAGGCTCATGCTTCTGAACACTGCTTAAATCTTTGTATGGCTTTCATAGTTTGTTTCACCAGCAGTTTATACCTGCACTTTGGAAGCTGGTCTATGATGGTTATGGGTCAGGCACAGTTTATCTCAGCCAAACTGGTCATTGCAGTTTAACATTAATATGTTTCAGATGTTTTTGCTGTGTCCAGATGTGACTGAATTAATTTCTCTTTGGCATTAAAATTGTTAACTTCGTCCTCAGAGATAAGTCTTGATGTCTAATTTATGGATAGGTGCTCCAAAGAGAGACACAAAGAAGCAACAAGACATTGTAGTTCATAGTTTTTGCCCTATGCAGAGAGTTACAATATTTTTTTTATTTGTTGTTCCTTCTTGCCTTTCACTGACAACACAAAGAAGTCTTAGAACAAACATTCAATATAGCACAAACAACATACAGTATTATGCACATGGCACAAAAAATGCTGTTATTCTATAATAAAAAAGACATATATTACCAGGAAGACTCCAAAAAGAAAATGATGATCTGTAGTGTTGCCCCCCGAAGAAAATTTGCACAGTAAAAATCTATAATAAAAATAATTCTGATTAAAACTGTCTTAATATCACTGAAGGCCGCTGTATATTTTACGCTGTGAGCTCTCTCTTTCTCTTTTTCTCAGAGGCTCATTCCAGTGCTGCTCTGTATGAATCTCCATATCTGGAACTGTCCGCCTCTCTGGACCATGGCACCACGGAGCTCCTGGAACTGGCAGTGCGGGCAGCGCGTGGCGAGAGTATTGGGCCACTAGGGGCCGGCGGAGGAGAAGGGGCATCTGGAGGCCGCCGCGAAAGCCTGACCACACGAGCCAAACGCTTCCTCGCCAGTCTGGTGCCACGCTACCCGCGCGAAAAGGAGCGCGAAAGTGGCAAGTTCTTCAGGCAGAAGTCTCGCTCCTGTCATGATCTTGGAGCTCTGTGAGCGAGAGACCGAAAGAGAGGAAGAAAGATGCACAGAGAGTACAGGGAGGAGGAGAAGGAGCGGATAGATAGAGATAGGTAATCGATAATCTAATGAGCAGCAGTGGAGAATTGGAAGGAAAAGAGATTAACTAAAATTTTTGATTGTTGTTGAAGAAGCGCAGTGTAGAGGAATTGATGAAATACAACATGAAATAGAAAATCACAAGGGAACAAAATGGTTTTATGACTACATCTAGAATGTATGTAATAGCATTGTAGAGCTATAGCGAGTGTTCACCACTGTAAACTACTTCTGTATATACGTCCCCATTGGTCCAGTCACACACCATCACTGCTGAGGGCCAATCATAGCATTTAGTACATGTAAAACTGTAGCGCTGTGACTGACTGAACTACTGTATTTTGCATGCTCCATTATAAAAAGTTCAGTTCACGTAAATGATTTGAGGAAACTATCTACTTTGAGTAACTTGTGGTGTGCTACTACATTAATTAGTATGAGTTGTAGAAATAAAATTAGAACAGATCCATTGTCTCTAGGAAATTGATTTTCACAGACCTTTTGATTGAACTTTTCACATTGCAGTATCCCTTGGCTGTACCACTGAAGATGTACGTGCGAAGAATTTTACGTGTACTAAAGGCTTTGATTAACTTAGCCCTAAGGTTTCATCCTCCATTACTGAGAGGTAAATTAAATGTATTAAACAAAATCTGAGGATTCAGTTTCCTTTTTTCTTTTTTCTTTCTTTTCTTTTTCTGTGAGTACAAACTCTTTCAGCTCCAAATCTTTAACACCAAGCTAGGGGAAAGAACACCTAAGAACTGCATCAGATTTTATTCAGTTAACACACAGACATAAAATCTGATGCTAGTGCTATTGAGTGGAAGGAGTACCAAGTCATAAGCAACGGAAGGGCAGTAAACGGTAGAAACTGCTGCTTTCCAGTATCAAGCCATGGCAGCGGCAATATGTGCCACAACATGCCTGAATTTAACATTAAGACTGCAGCTTAGCATGCAAACTGTGCATAGCCCCGCCCACTATCTGATTGCTCATGAGGTGTAGGGCTTTAAAAGAGCTGAAAACAAGCTTGAGACAAAATAGAAAATGAAATTTTATGACACTTTGAGGCCCTATAGCAAATTTAAGTCTGGTTTTAAAAACCAGCTGCCATGAGTTGCTCAAACTTTGGTAAATTGTATGAAATGTGTGTATATGGGTGTAATATTTCCACCCATTTTTTACACAGTCCTCTCATGTTTCGTGTAGCTCTCTATCAAATATATATGAAGTGCATTTTGACATGACATGACATGCACACGATCCATAAACTGCATATTTAAACTTGTGCACCAGTTTTATACATAACATACATCTGATTTGTTTTTAGCATGTTGGGCCTAGAGTCTTAGAACAGGTTGAAGCCATTTGCTGAGCTGTAGAACCTAGTTTGAAATCCCTGGTCTAAAATATTAGATAATTACAGTATTGTGCAAAAGACAGACCATCCTTTGTTTATTTTCCAGTCAAAACAGCCACTAAGTTAATCATATTTCACCATCAGGAAAAAAGCAGAAAAATACACAGAAGCTTCAACAACTAAATATAATGTCACATTTTTCATTATTTACTGTGTCCGCTTCTTGCCTTTATTACAGGTTTGTTATTTTACATTGAGAAACATTATTCTTGAATGTTCTTTTTATACCCTATCATGTTACTGAGAGTCTTTTGTTGCCCCGTCCCAACTTTTTTGAAACATGTTTTTGGCATCAAAACAATTACATTTCTCAGTTTGAACATTTGATACGTTGTCTGTATACAATTTAAAATCAATACATGGTTTAAATGATTTGCACATTATTTTCGTTTTGTTTTATTTACATTTTGCACAGCATCCCAACTTTTTTGGAAACGAGGATGTATATTTTAATCATTTTTTTTAACTCCAGTTTTGGAAACTGTTTTGGATTACCTTATATTCAATTTCCATGGAAGTATCTCACTAATGGCTGTTTTTAATGGAAATAAAAGAAATGAAGTGTGGTTTCTGGCTTTTGTGCAGTGCTATGTATTAAAAGAAACATTAATAACTATTTACCAATGCTTTTATCTCTACTCCCAAGGTGCCGCTGTACCATATGTGTACTGAGCTGACCTCACCTCATAGGTCATGGATGAGGACTGCAGCTTTGTGAAATGAATGCTCTTCTGGAGATGAAAGGTTGCTCTCTCAGTCAGAGGTAGAACTGTCTGAACATAAAGTCAGTAAGCACTATGATTTGCATAAATAAAGCATAAATTAAGGACCAAAAACTTTTCTCCAAACCAAACCAGAATTGCCTGATCCACATGTAAGAATTTGAAGTTAAAGGGGCCAGACTTAGTGGAAAAGGAAGGAGACAAAGATAACTTGAAAACACTGTATGTATTAGTATTCCCCATCTCCAGTCCTCAACACTCTGCACTGCTTGATTTAGTATGATACTCTAACGCACTTGTTTTCAGTTGGTGAAGGACTTCTCATGAGTCGAGTCAGGAGTTTTAGTGCAGGAAACGCATTAAGTTGCATTGGTTGGGCACTTCAACACTGGAATGGAGAGAACCTAGGAATATACACTGTCCTTCAAAAGCAGTGGTGCCCTTGGGAAAGATAAATATGAAAGATGTGAAAAATATTTATTAGTTACATCTTAGGCTGAAAATTTTCTGTCCATTTATTGATGTAAAATGCAAAATGATGCCAGTAATTCTCCAGTAGTAAAATGTAGTAATCTGTCTTTTATGTTCAAGCAACAGTGCAGGTCGTATACAAAATTGATTCCCAGCTGCCTGGGCTGTCATTAAATGACACAGCAGCCATTTGGACATCTCTGTGGCAGCACTGAGTGTCTAGTGTTCTCTTCCACATATGCAGAGACATTTGCCAGTGTAAGTCAGTAAGTAATCTTTGTTTAAATAGCACTTTTCTAGACTGAGGTTACTCACTTCACAATGGAACACTAAATGAAAGAAGAGACAAGCGGATTAAATCACATATCACAAACTAAATATACACCGAAATCAAGTAAAAACCTTAAAACAGCAGAAAAATAGACACAAAACACATAAACATCAACCATGCTAGATACTGTGCTATTAGGAGTCCAAAAAAAGTTCTAAACTCTTTTAAAAGTGGTGGTTGAACCTGAAATCAAGGGGAAGCATGAGCTGCACATGCAAAGAAGTAAATAAGTAAAATTACTATTTAACATATGTGTCACTGTATGTCACATCACCAGTATGTGTGTGTATTTTCTCACTTTTCTTCGCCCAGAGCCTGGAATCACTAAACAGATCCTTTTTCCATTGTGATCAGTAGGCATTTTGCAATTTACTGCATCTTGCTGAATTAAAACCTACAATGTTGAATGAACTCCTACAGTGTTCATTTGAGTGCAGCAGTGCTTGAACACTAGATGCTTTGCTGTGTAGAGGAACTCTCACCTATGAAGTGCACCTTTCACACAGTATATTGCCAGACATGAGAGAGTGAGAACTGTATTATTGCAGGTTATTAAATGAACGCTGCTGTAGATTTACTCCTGGGTTGAGTAATGCCTGTTGTACATAACAAACTCAGCCAAGCTGGATAGAAAACAGATACGGAGAACTGCCGTTCTGGTTTGTGTTCTTTAATCAAAGGAGATGGTGCACTGTATATGGACAGATTGTTGCCTGGCGACAGTAGTCATAGAAACTGAGAATCTTTGTGACATGGACATTCTTCTACATTTTTACCTGTGATCTGCTGCTCTATAGCATGGTCGGACCAAACATGTTCCAGAGCAGCAGATGACAAGTAAAAATAGGACAGAGGAAGATTGACTGAAAGATACGGTGGTGACTGGGGAGAGAGAGTTTGATGATTTTGAAATATAATAAAAAATCATTTGTCTTAATTTTAAAGACCTTTTAGAGTGTAAATACAGGGAGTTTGGAAACTAGAGAAAAAGCTTTGAGTTGCCAAGAAACATGCACAAATGAATCACAATGCTTCCTCTCACATAATACTGTAGGTAATGGTATGAGATCACAGCGTGGACTGACCCTCTAGATGGAGACACATCCTTACCAATAAACCACAGCAAATTTGTTTCCTCAGATGTGCCTTGAATCTCATACACAACTCAAAGAAAATTAGAAGAATGGAGAGCGTCGCCCCCTTTAGGACCTAATAAAATACTTTTTTGTACAATATCAATGCAGGTTTTAATGTGTGTCGTGACAAGCTTCTCACAGTGCTTTACGAAGAGGGTGGGTCCTTCAGGACAACTGTGCTTTTCTATAAAATGTCCCTCATAAAATGTTTTATGGATGTTTTTATAGATTTTCATCTCTTCTCAGAAATGTGCCATTTAGTTGAGAGTAGAGCTCCAGTAATGGACTGATCTGTTTTCTTTCCTCGAGTTGTTTTGTGGTTAGAGGCAGTGCAGTAGCCATTTTAGGCTAATGCAGTTGGTCAATATGCTCTCCACTGTGAATCTGTAGAGACCAATGAGAGTCCGGTGGGACACATTAACTGTTCTCAGCCTCCTGTTTCTTTTTGAATTGGAAGGAAAACTGAAGTTCACAGTCACCTCGTTTGTTTTGCTACTTCATTTGCAGCATCGTATTACATCTAAAATTGATTGTATCTCTCTGTTTTTCTCGTGTTGGTGAAGCACAGCTATGATAAGTGCATTATCTGTATGTGCTAGAGTGTTTCTTCAGGGGATACTCCGGCCAAAATGAAGCGGTTAACCATCACTACATCTGTTGTAAAAATGCCTGTTTGCCTCTTAAAGCGGTGCCACAGTAGTCTCTAAAGCAAGATTTTCCTGGTTTAAGTAGAACCAAGAACCAGTAAAAACATCAGTGGTGCTTGCTACCATCAGTGTTATAGCACTAACCTCAATTCATCACCTTTTCTTTGTTAAAGGAATAATTCAGCCAGTTGTAGCATTAATTGCCAAATTTCCACCAAAAATCATAGACTACATATAGAATCTGTGTAGACATTTGCAGTTTGGTCTTTATGTAACTTGCTACTTCTGTTGTAGCTTTCAGTTGTGTCTGTTGAGCTGATGCTCCAGAGCCCATCTGTCCTTTAGTTAAGACATTTAGGCTGTGTTCAGATGGTGGAACATATTCTGCAAAAAGTTCACATCCGAACCTGAGGAAGTTGCCTGCAACAAGTTTTGAAAAGTGGAGAGGGAGTGGAATGTGGATCTACGGGTGGTGTTATGGACTGGAAGTTCGACACCACATGATACTTCACACTAGAAGGATAGAGTAAAGAAACTAGCGCTTATTGTGCTTCTTTTTGGAGTAGAAAGATGGGGGGAGAAAAAGTCTAGCAAGTTTTATTCTTCCTGCTCAGCCTGTGTGAATATTAGCAGCATTAGCAAGTACCTTGTAGACCACAACCAGCAAGGAAAGTGACACTAAAGTAAACTACTCACAACGATAGGTTGGTGAGGGATACTCATCGCCTTTTTCTCAAGGTCTTTCACAGAACGTCAGTGGGCCTCATTTACCAATATCTCCCTAAGTTTTTTCTTAAGTTTGTTCTTAAGGCCCTAAGAAAAAGTCTACGTCAGATTCATGGTGTGTTCTTAAACCACAGAGTTGTTTGCACCTTTGTGCTCTTGAGTGTGTGTAGATTCTGTTCTCACCTAAGAATTAATC